AGCTGTGATTTGAGTGCTTCGCGTTTGGCTTTAGCAACGGCGATGCGGTTGACTTCGTCGATCACAGTGCCTGTCTTCACTTTCCTCCTCTAGGTCAGTCGGTCGCGAGCGAGCGAGGTCTTCTCAGTTGGGCGGATTAATTTGCATGGGGTCTCAGGGAGAACTTCAGAGTATCCTTGTATCGGCGAATTTGGCCTCCTTGGTAGGGAGAACCCGTGGCGACGTCTCCGTAGAAGGGCCGTTTGGGTAAGCGTTCGTCGTCCATGCGCACGAAGCGATCGCCCCAACGCAACTGCAGTTGTCTCAGCATGGTGTAGATTCTGAGGACTCCCGTCCGATCCAGTACATCGGTGTCGGATATTCGGTCCTGCCATCTCAGTTTCAAGATGCAACGAAGACAACTGAAGTGGAAGTGATTAACTCGGCGTGCCTACATCGTGTACACCGTCAAAGTCTCCGCTCCATACAGTAGCGTCGGCAGGATGACGGCCTTGTACATCTTCAGCTTCTTGCTCAGTTGGAGGCCATGACGATTCCAAACTGCGCTTTGAAGGCGACCGAAGGCTTGACTGGCTTTCGAGATCCCGTTGGCGACTTCGTCATCGATTTTGGTGCTGCGGGAGTGGGTACTGCTCAGGTACGGGAAGTTGTCCACCACTTGCAGTTGGGCACCGTTCACGCTGATCTGTGGCGCAGTGTGGTAGGGGTTGTGTTTGGTGGCGGTTGATGCATGACCACCGTCTTCTGCGTGTTGATGGCCAGGCCGAAGTTCTCGCAGGCGGTGGAGAAGAGGTCCATGCTCCGTTGCATGTTCTCTTCTTAGGTGGCGTTGAGGGCGCAGTCATCGGCGAACGGTGGTTGTGGATACGCGCGATGGGGAGTTCATCCGCCGTTGATTGAGGAGGTGGTCGCCCATCCTGCGGGCTATGCGGATCCCGGGACGTTTTTCACGGTAGGTGTCCATCGGCATTGCATGAATTCTTCCAGCCCTAACTTTAGGCGATTTATCCGTCCAAGGGATGGATTGACAGATGCTTCTGCTGGTTAGCCTTTTGCCACGAATCTAAAATAACTGAACATCTATTTTGCCTAACTGCATGTAAAAGTTTCATGAAGTTATACGATGAGTACTAGCGGTACGTTTGCTTGCATTTGCGGATATGTCTGTTGGTTCTATGGAAGCCCAATTGCTGTGTATAACTGCGTCATTTACCCTGAATTTTGCCAGACCCGTTTGTTCGGGTAAGCGGATCTGGCTGGTCATCGAGTAGGCTCTGAGCTTTTACCCAGTAGTTCAATTTGTTAAGTCATTCACTTATGCACAACTGGCCACTAATTGGCTTATGAGCATGTAATCATTGATTCGCGCATTCTGATAGAGGAATACCGGGAAAACTGAAAAGCTAAGTTTCGGTTCGTATACCTCGGTCTTTCAGGTTCCTGGGTCCGCTACGCGAACGGAGGGTAAACGCTCAAGCATATGATGACTGCATTGCCAGACTGGGTACGAGGGGCAAGGAGAGTTCAGGCATTTCAAAATCCGATGTCACGGTTCGGTTCGACATTGACGAATCCTACTAGCACGTTATTCACCTGTATTAGTGGACCAGAGTTGCAGGACGCGCTAGATGGAGCGGACGCTTTAGCGCGGATCCTCAAACTATGTTCGGACATCTGTCCCACCATATCTCTTTGGAATTTTATGCATACACTAGTCCCTACCAATCGTTTGTTTGGGGTTTCCTCCTCTAGCGCCCTTACCTGGTATAACCTAACCGGAGAGCAACGTTTGCACAAGATCGTGCTTAATGCTTTCTACGGGACACTGCAGCCAAGGAGTTTTGTAGTATTTTATAAGGCATTTGGGCTGCCAGACTCTAATTTCCCATGCCTCAGTGAAACTGTAGTTGCTGACTCATATCTGCTTATTTTCCAGGCCTGCAAGTTTGTTTGTTCGCGTCTGGCCTTTGTCGAAGTTCATTTCATTGTAAGTCATGCGTGAGTAAGCTGGGGGAGGTAGCAAGTAGGACAACGGAAAGTCTGCGCCCTGCGTTAGCGCAGGGACAAGCAATAATGCGGGAGGGATATCAACAATGGGGGCGGGGGGAGACTAGGACCACAGTTTCTAGCCCGCTTGCCATCCATCGCCCATAGCCCACGTGGCGCCAATGTGGGTTTCAAGCGCGGGTCGGTTGGTCACTCGGCATGTATCATCGTGCGACCGACTCAATGAAACGTCGCCCCCATATGAGTGAGTGTTGTCAGTAGCATCGGGCAACATGTGGGGCAGCGTCTTAACTGACAAGTCGTTTGGTCCGAGTATTTCATGACAACATGATCTGGTGACAGTATATTCTGATGGATAACGACAAACAATTCAGGAGTGAGCACTCCCAATCTTCCTCGTTTTGTCAGCACTGCGTCTGCAGCAAGGGTATATATTGGTAAGATGCCGCCTCGCGGCGCCAGTCTACCCGACTAGACTGGGGTCTGTGGGGCGTGCGTTACCTAGACGACTACCAGCAATGGTTAATTCTCTCAATTTATATCGAGCAGTTTTGGCCACGAGTGGTTGTAGTACTGTAGCACCTCAAGAGCGTATAGGCCCTCTGACACTGGCGCAAGCCGCGCTTGGAATTATGTGATAACAGGTTTGGAGCGGATGGCACATCAGCCACTGGCTTCCCCCAAAGTGATTGGTTGGCTCTTACACAAGCCTTAGTCATTTGCGTTCACTTGGTTTGTGTGGAGGGACGCGCTCGCAGACTTGCATTCGGTCGCACTTCAAGGGTTTTGACGGTCCTCACGCATCTGCAGGGAATACATGCCACCCGCCGGTGCTTTTCGTCTTCGGCTGTGTTATGCATGCGAAGCAGGTTAGCTGTAAACAGGGCGTGTACTGGGTACGGGAGACAGCACAAGTTGGGAACCTTGTAGAAACGGCTGGGTATATGGCAAGGAGGAATGTCATAGGCTGGAGGGTGGCCAGTCAGCACCAAGGTTGTCTGAACGGGGGTACACGACTTTGGTCGCGCGCATGTGGTGTAACGCCCCTTGACACGAACAGAGTTGTTTGAATGGCGCGCGGACCTGGGATGGAGATGGCGTAACCGCGTGCTGGCGAAGACGGCCGGTGTCCTTTCCTCTCGATACCGCCGACCCTCCCTCCCCCAACGAACCGCCGCTCTCGACTCTCTCTCGCTCTCTCACTCAACGTCGGCTCCCCCTCGGCTCTTCCCTTAAGTTGCCCACAGCGCTGCATCTCCACCGGTTGTTTAGCTAGTATCGCAGGGTCGTCTTTCCATCCAGACAGGTCACTTATTCGCTGTTCCTCGTTGCAAATGTACATTAACACTTGTTATATACATTCTCCATATCATGTTGTTCCATTACACTATATCCATGCTCGACGTACTCTCTTCTTCTGCGTGTGGACGAGTTTCAAGAGATGTTAACAGTTCAATTCAGGATCTCTTCTCGGCGTTTCCTTACTCCGGTATGTGCTACCCTTAACGTCCTCGGCCGTTACAGTGGCGCTCTGCCTAGACAATCCGGGCAGCATACTCTGCAGGCTGTCGCTAAGGTCTTGTCCGGCTCGTCGCGGAGTTTAATGTACATCCACTACGTATCCAACAGAGACACTTAAAATGAACTGGTTTGACAAAGATAATGCGTTGAATGCCGAGATCGTGCAGATTCGTTATGGTGCTGCTGAGTGACTTCAAATTTATGGCATGAAAAGTCGCGGCAGGAGCGGCTCATTGGCCGAGCCGGCAGAGGGTTTGCAAATTGAACAGCCATTTTAGCTTGTTACTGAGGCCATCAGAAGTAACAACGCGCCATTAATGACAGGCGTCAACTGTGTGGATAACACGGAGAGAACGCAACCATGGATTTCAATGAATCACCAGGACAGCATTCATTCTTGTGTATCAGTCTGAAGGCCGCCAACGCAGATGTTGCAGTTGGAGCAAAAAAGGCGCGTAACACGTGTTGGACGTACGCTTTGTGTCCCTGTGGTCTTTTAATTTCCGCAGAAATTAATCGCGGATTTCTAGCAAATCAATATGGACGGAGCTTTCTAGGCTCAGACCGAAAATTACTATGAATGTTTGGGTCGAAGTCCACAGTGGGATAACAGCGTAATATTCCTAAACTGCCGACAGGCAGTTAGTAGTATGCGCGCAGGTCGCATAATACACCGTGCCAAACAGCGATGCGTGACAAGGCCACCTGGATGCACCCTCGGTCGCGACAGTGACACCCACTGGGCAATGTCCTCGTCCGCAGGCGAGATCAGGGGGACGTGCTGGTGGCAAAGGCGATTCCGGGTGCTGACGGGTGGACCGACCATCGTCTTATCATGTCCAAGATGCGGACTCACCTACAGCCTCGCAGGAGACCTCAAGTCAAGCGACCACCAGGTACGTTGAGTACTGTTTTGCTGAGTGTGCCTGCTCACTATCTCCACATCAGCAATGAGCTGGTCGGATGGCTAGACAACCTTCTAGTTGCTGCCGCCGCTGGCGTGAACGACTCCGTGGAGAACCGATGGTTTCAACTGTGGGATACAGTCCAGTCAACGGCCCTGGCCGTCTCCGGTCGCGCACGCCGCCGACACCAGGACTGGTTCGAAGACAACGACGCCGCAATCAGTAACCTGCTTGTCGAGAAGAACCGCGTCCACAAAGCCCACGTAGACCATCCCACAGACGACAACAGAACCGCCTTCTACCGTAGTTGCCGCCCTGTGCAACAGAGGTTGCGTGAGATGCAGAACGTCTGGACGGCTCGCAAGGCTGAAGAGATCCAAGGGTACGCGGACCGCAACGAATGGAAGAAATTCTTCCCTGCGATCAAAGCTGTCTACGGTCCGCCGACCAAAGGCACTGCTCCTGTCCTCAGCGCCGACGGCAGTACCCTCCTCACTGAGAAGACACAAATTCTACAGCGATAAGCCGAGCACTTCCGAGGCATGCTTAACAGCCCCTCCACCATTTCCGACTCCGCCATCGCACGTTGGCCGCAAGCAGGGACCATTGCGGACCTTGACTTCTCACCCTCTCTCCAGGAAACCATCAGGGCTGTGCAGCAGCTCTCCTGCGGGTAAGCGCCCAGACCGGACGTGGTCCCTGCTGAAATCTAAAAGCACGGTGGTCCCAACTCATGGATCATCTGACCGCGCTCTTCTAGGAGATGTGGCGTCGAGGGCAAGTCCCTCGGGATTTCAAGGACGCCATAATCATCCACCTCTACAAGCGGTAAGGGAACCGCCAAATCTACTACAACCACCGGACATGTCCCTACTGAACATCGCCGAGGAGACGATTGTTCTTATCATTCTCAACTCTGAACAACCATCTGGAACAAGGTTTCCTGCCGGAAAGCCAATGCGGCTTCCGTTGTCATCGTAGTACCACCGACATGATCTTCGCTGTCCGTCAAATGCAGAAGTGTCAGGAGATGCGGACCCACCTATACTCTACCTTCGTGGATCTGACAAAAGCCTTCGACACGGTGAATCGCAAAGGACTGTGGAAAATCATGCAGAAATTCGGCTGTCCCGAGCGATTCATCCAGATGGTGCGTCAGCTGCACGACGGCATGATGGCGCGAGTCACGGACAAGGGAGCTGTCTCAGAGGTATTCTCAGTGACCAACGAAGTGAAGCAGGGATGCGTCCTGACGCCCACCCTCTTCAGCCTTATGTTCTCTGCCGTGCTAATGGACGCCTACCGTAACGAACGTCCGCGGATCCGCATCGCCTGCAGGACGGACGGTCCTCTCCTCAACCACAGTCGGAGGCACTTCCGGTCACGTATATCTATAACTACAGTCCACGAACTTCTGTTCGCCGGTGACTGCGCACTCAATGCAAATACTGAAGGAGACATGCAAAGAAGCATAGATCTCTTCTCCGTCGCCTGAGAGAACTTCGGCCTGATCATCAACACGGAGAAGACGGTGGTCATGCAACAACTGCCACCCGACGCTGCCTCCGTCGCACCCCAAATCAGCGTGAACGGTGCCCAACTGCAAGTGGTGGACAACTTAACGTATCTGGGCAGCATCCTCTCCCGAATCACCAAGATCGACGATGAGGTGGCCCGCCGGATCTCCAAAGCCAGCCGAGCCTTCGGTCATCTGCAAAGCACAGTCTCCACCTCAATACCAAACTGAAGATGTACAAGACCTGTAGCAGCTGCTCCAGTCCCCCTTTTCTCCGGCTCCCTTTTGTCAGTCGATGACCGCGATAAGCACTGACAGGCCGCTGACGCACGACCACCCACACCGGCTAGAACTGGGACACCTGCGGTCCAGCTGCAGTGAACCCCGGCTGCACTCAAAAACTAGTATCGCCTAACGCGCGTCGAACGCTTTGGCTTGATTCCCGTGAGGCCTTGTGAGTATGCGCCCTCCATTCGTCCCCTAATTAGTCCAATCATACGACCACCACGCAGACAGTCACCCCCTCCTGCTGACTTAGACACTGACACGCGCGTAAACAACACACACCGCGACTGACGCTCTCCGTGAACGGACGCTTTTCTCTGTTGCAAGCAAACCGCCAACTTACGGCAACCTGCCCTGTGTACAGAATAAACTAGTCCTCACAGCTCCCTGACTTCTGACAGTAGACGAAACGAACTTATTGTGCGTGGTTTAAGTTGATCTCACATCCTTGACCGCCACAGACCGTCATACTGCCGACGCTGTTGTATGGAGCAGAAACCTGTACGCTGTACATGAAGCAGGCACGTTGACTCAATCATTTCCACCTTAGCTGTCTTCTTTGAATACTGAAGCTGAGATGGCAGTACCGGATCGCGGATACGGATGCACTGGAACGGACGGGAATTCTCAGGATATACGCTATGCTGAGGCAGTTGCAACTGCGTTGGAGTGACCACCTCGTACGTATGGACGACGAGAGGTTACCCAAACGATCGTTCTATGGGGATGTCGCGACGTGTTCAAGTCGCAAGGAGGCTGAGTCCGGCGCTACAAGGATACTCTGAAAACCTCCCTAAAGTGTCTGCAGATCAACCCGGCCAACTGGGAAGACCTTGCCCGGGACCGCCCTGCGTGGAGAACGGTGAAGACAGACGCAGCGATCTGCAAGCCAGTCGTATTGCCGCCGCGAAACCAATCGCGAGGCACGCAAATCTCAACTGCCATCGCCTCCGCCGCTGCTGCCGCCTTACAACGCTAACGCCCAACCACCCTTAACGTGTCCACGATGCCAACGGACATTGAGAGCGCCAATTGGAATTGTTAGGCACTTCCGAACCAACTGCAGCACCAGGACTGTACCAACTGTCGTCTCCCCGTGCACCTCTCCCTCGCCTCCTACGTCGTCAACCAACGTTGGCCGCCCTCCAACCATCACCATCACCACCGCCACCACTACCCGTCTCGGCCTGGTTGATCGTTTAGGAACAGTCCGGCCGTACACGCATGTAGACGGTACGTGGCGGGACTTTTCGTTGGCTTTTAAAGATGTCAGTTACTACCCGCCACGATATCAGGTTCTCAGGTCAGGATGTCAGTGCTGAGAGGAAGAACACTTTCGGACGAGTTGATATAACCGTTCAATGGCTGCATTATCCGTCGACTGTGATGCCACTGAGCCTGAGCCGGCCATGAGGGACGCTGTGTGTAGAACGCGTGAGTGGACGGACATAACCTGTATTCGATTATATTGTTGCTGTCTGCTTTTACTAAGACGGGCACGCAAATTTTGCTTCCGCTCTTTGCTGCAGGCCCACAAATTGAATTGGACTTGATTGCAGGACTAGGAAAGGCGGCAAGTTTGTGCTTATAAAATACAGATGTGCAAACCATGAATTGTAAGCGGGGAGGTCATTACAAATCTGTCGATAGTGGTATAGTTGTACCATGAGTGGTTGAGAAATAGTTGCCCTAACCCTAACACAGACAACTCGACGGTTAGAAGGAAACGACAAACAGCAAGTCCACGTAATTACGCCTACTCAAAGCCAATCAGTAACTCGACAGTATTGTGGTTCGTATGTGTGGAGGGTCAATCAGCTCCTACGGATTCCCGAATCGCGGAAGACAGATTTGGGCTGGACAACTTTACTGACATGTGAGAGCGCACAAGAGTCTCTGCAAGCAGTTGCCGTAAGTTATCTCTCCAGGCAAGTGATTTTGTGTCCGCCGTTGTGGTTATTAGGCCCCGGCACGTGTGTGCGCCTTCACTTTGTCTTCGGCAGTGCTCGCCAGCCAATAGGAGAAGGACTACGTTGATTGGTTTGGAGATCTTGCGAGGCTAGTGACGAGCCTCGTGCGGTTCCAGCAGCGAGTCGACAGGTAGCGTGAGGTGGATAGAAAGGCAGCTAGACAAAGCGGCGGAGAGCAAGGAAAGGCGGGCTGCCACGCATCCACTGAATTCATGCATGAAGCCTAGTTCATTTATGGGTAAGGAGCCAGTCGTGTTGTGAGGTGCGAAAACGAAAGCTTTAGGCCAAACCAGACTGTGATAGGACCCATGCTTAGTGGTTCTGACCAAATTTTGACACCAGAAGAGGGCAAGGTCACTGCTGCGATCATTGCGCCTTCGGAGTACTAGACAGTTCCGTCTGGTCGTGCGGTTTGTCCAATCCGTCCAACTGTCTAAAATCAATTTCTATGACATGGTCCTGATTAACTTGCCCACGACAAGGATGTTTCCATTACTGTCCTAGTGCATAAAACTTGGTGCGAATTCAGGCATTCAGTGAGCCGTGATGTTCTGCCTGTAAACGCCTACCTACGGGGTGTCACCGATAGTCGTTTTGCGAACCACCTTTATCTAGCGCTGGGGACTTCGGAAGCAGTCAAGCGAGTTTCTGAACCTGCAGTACGTGACCTAACTCATGAAACTTGATGGAAGAGATTGTTATGGAAATTTTCGGACACCTTAAAGTTGTGCGTTTTGCTGAATGGCCTAATCCCTTCAAGTAAATGTCCTTTCCTCGTGCAGAAAATGTTTCTAAGCAATTTGTCAGACAACATGTTCATCAGTTTGAGCGAAAAAGGGTGTTGCGATATTTTCGGGCGATTGGCCATGTTAACATCTGCCCAAGAATTCGGTTGCGCGTCGGAGCGTGTTCTTCATTCAGAGGGTTTCAGTAAACAGAGTTTGCCACACCTGAAAATTGATTTTATTTGTCCGATGCTAACCGTGGGAATCAGTTTGCTAACACACAGGTTATTAAAGAAACAGGCGTTTCATCGACTTTTAAAAGTCAGATTAGCGAACCTGTGCGATTTCGTGCCTTAAAGCTTGCTAAGAAGGCACATAGGCAATCCTTCGTTTAAATAAACCGAAATTGTTTTCTGATTTTAAAATACTATGAACTGACACCTTTAGGGGTCGACCAAGGGAATGCAGGTGCATTCCTGGCTGTTCAGGATGGAGAAGCGCAAGGATTAATTGCGTCTTAGTTGCTGCCACCGCAATCACTTCCAAAAGTTTAGGTATGAAGACATGAGTGCTAATTATAATGACCACGAAAAGTCAAATGGGTCTTACTACCTAGATGGGCAAGGCTTTTACGCTCATTGACTGTTTTCTTTCTTACTCTTCTTAGAAACTCGACGACAGATTTTGCACTGAGGAAAATTAAATTTCTTGAAGGCCTACAGATTTCCACTGGGAGTATCTGGCGTAAGTTATGCGCATATTGGAATCTGTAATCGCGGTGAAAATTGCTGTTGACGACGTGGAACTTTGACAGCTTGTTACAGATGTCCATAACGAACGTGAGACGCGGGACGTGACCGAAATTCCTACCTAATGCTGTTGTCGATTTATATCTATTTATTGATTTCTACCCCATTGTTAACTACGCTTGGACAAGAATCGGAGGGCACAGAGACGTCGAATTAAAAGGTATGGGAGCGAGGTTTTACTTGAAATTGAGGTTTTTCAGAAAAGACTGGTCCAGAGACTTCTGGCTAACTGCGTAAGGTTCCTGGGATCTAGGAGAGGTGATGGGGACACACCATCAGTGGTAACAGCAGTCGTATGTAATCATCCAGGAGGCCGAGAGCACCGTTATCACGTCACGCACGTTATTCACCGATATATAGATGAGTGCGAACGGGAATGCCAGCTTTTACAAGCCGGGCCTGTTTGCCAAGCGTCAGAAAAGGTCGCTTGGCAGCTTCAGAAAAGTCCAAACAGTGATTAATCGCCCGGTACATGAATTTCATACATTTTTTAAAAATATACCTGCTACTTAGGGGAAAAATCCGGACCGTCGTCGGCAATCCACATTCGCCTCTACAAAGCTCCGCGGAAAATCGCCTGGCCGACCAATGAGGAATTCCGTTCAATCTATGTACATATTACACCTTTTCAGATTCATTTTTCAAGATAAGTTCCCGACTGTGACCATCTCCATGGTGGCTGCCCATCATCGGCCTGCTTATAAAATAGGCGTTCTATGTGAATGTATACTAGACGGTTAAGATGGATGGCAAAGGATAACAGAGGTAGATTGGAAAAGATTAGAGGAAAGTATGGGTAATGTGTAAAGTGGAAGTCTTTTGCGTAATGCGCACGTAAACTCTTGATTTGTCTGGGGTATCTTGGAAAACGATATCTACCAGGTAACTATTCATCGATCAACATCGACACCTAAATATACCCATCTCCATAAATCAATTAGTGCGCAATATCGAGTAAGCCTTTGCTACTAAGATACAACTTTCAAACGTAAGTCAAATGGCTGCGCCCATTATGTCCACCCCTTGGCCAACCTGAGGAAATACAACAGGATCCAGGTCGGAAGCTGTCTGCTAACACTTTGTCAAGGAGTAGCTGAATTGGATTAATGTAAAGTGCGTGTAAAGCAAGAGGCATTCAGGTATGTAATCACCAAACAAGTAACACTCAACCCCGGCCTGTAAATATCCGAAGGTGACTCGCAGATATGAACCACTGAGTGACATGCGCATGCGGCCTCCGCGTGTAGCACGCGTTTGGCGGGAATCAATCCGCGTCAACCGCCGCGCTTAGCCCCTCTGCACTTGGGAGAGTGAAGCACACTGAAGTACTTCTAATGAAAGTTCGATGCATTCCTCGCACAACAAATCTGGCGCAGCTGAAACCATCAGGAGGCACTAAAAGTTGTGAATTGGTAAGTTTCGGCTGACACTATAATCCGGTCCAACTCAATTAGGGGTTGGGCCACAACGGCCCTTCCTGGAGTGGCCAGCATGATACTCTTACTTAAGAGAGATCCCAGACCCCTCACTTTTTGAAGCCTAGTTCGTAGAAAGTAAACGATCAATTCGTGTGCAGCACGGGTGGGCAAGCCAGTTATCTTTGTCAGTCACTGGTACAAATCCCGCTTTAGTCATATCTACTTCGTCTTGCCATTGGATATAGGAAAAGTGCGGAAACCGAATGTTTGCTTCGTTAGGGATCGTTCTTGTCTCCGGTCCTCATCTCCTAGGGTGGACATATCGCTGTGGGCATGAATATCGGTTTGTGCTCGATATAAGTGGGACGTAGGTCACCGGACGAGGTGGACACGAATGACCCTGAAGCATGTGCTGTTCCTGCTTGAGTTGTCCTCATCATTCCACGTTTGTTTATATGATCGGTGGGTGACCTACCGGTGGTTGCTTGTTCGCGATTCATACTGTCAGAGGGTAAGGTTAATTTTCCCCAATGCCCAAAAAATACGGAATTAGTAACCCGATTTACCATGACATATGGACCGATGGGAAGGCTCTAGCTATACGGTGTCGCTGGCCCGCCTGTTCGACTTCATTTTTATACCAGTTCTACGTGTTATTTGAGGGATTATTGGCCTCAGTAAAGGACAAAGCCGAAACAGCTAAGTGTCTGGTATTTGCGAATTATCTCCTGACCATGTTGACTCTGAGCAGGCTAGGATAGAGAGGAGCAGATTTGTAAGCAGTGACGTGGGAAATAGGAATGAACCACCATCGTTCGATGAAGTGGAAAAGAACCAATTTGCTTGCCAAACGGGGATATGGTACCCGCCAAAAAGTATTTCGAAGGTGACAATAAGTGCCCTGGATCAAACCACCTTGTAACCGATTTCGCGCAACAGCTTGTGCCTGCAGCGGCCAAGGCAGAAGTTACATTTAACTCTTACGAACGCAGTTTCGTTAACAGTAAAAATAAAGGAGGGGGTTTGTCCTGTTTAGAATCCCTCAGTGTCGCGCATACGGACCCATGCGCAATCGCATTAAGGTGTTAGCAAGTGTTAAACTCATGAGCGTGACCATGGGAACGCTGGACAACGGCTTCATCGCATACCCGTCGCCCTACTAAACGGTAGCCAACTGCCACAGGAATTCCACAGGATAAAGAAGTTGGTTAGATAATTAAAGTGCAGTTAGAGCTAAAAACCGAACAAGATTGTATGGGAGATAGCATAGAGCTGACGAGACAGAGCGACAACGCCTGCGCGCTTGGGGATGACAGACGTATGATGAGGCAGGGGAGGAGTACAGGTAAAGCTCAGCGACAGCGAGTGTCTAGTGTTCCGGCACCGCTAGACAACGAAAAACTACATACAAGCACACATAAAAAGTCAATCACACGAAAAATCACAAAAGAAACTCGAAATGAAGAAGGGGACACATAGGAAACGGCAGTTTCCTTGGTTCGATAGCGGGGAAAAAATGGAATCCATATGCCCAACTTAACGTCTGCCAGGCGATGCTGGACAAATTCGAAAAATGTAGAGGTGAAGGGAAGGGCAGTGCAATGGAAGATCAGATGACAACTTTAGTCAACGATGCTCTCTCCTCGGTGTAAAGTGTTTGTAAAAGGTAAAAGAAGTCTAAACTTCAGACCATGATAGCGTAAATCGATCGATACTGTCAAGGTTGATCCTCTGGACTGTGGTTTTCAACAGATTCTTGAGACTGAACGCCATGGTGTGCATCGTGGATGACGCCTCCTGTAACGATCTGGCTTTCGTTGACTTCGAGGTGGCCCTCGACTGTTTGGTCGTCAGGGCTGACAACTTGGAGGCCGTGATGGGCGTCACGGGTGTCGGTTGTCATGGCAACCGCCTGGTTATAGGTTGCCTGCAGATGATCCTCTGTCTCCTCCGTCTCACTCACCCCGACTTGATTTGGGGGTGCCTCAAATTCGTCGATTGCACTCACATCCTCCTGGGTCCAGTCTCCGGTGCCCTCCGCGGAAGCAAGTTGTGGTTCCTTCTGTTCGGACTGCATGAATCCAGACTCAATTGTAAAGGTATCCGGTACAGCATGCTAAAGCGGGAGGAGTGGACATGAGATTTCGGTTTCGTGTAGGTAAATCATACATAAATGAGTTTATTGGAATTAAAAGTAGCAAGGCGCCCACAATAGCGCGGCCTGGGAACTTCTATCATTAGGAAATTAGTGAAAATTGCCGGCCAGCCAAACAAGGTATAGTGATAGCGGTTATAACCTCGATACCCTGAACAGAGCAGGAAATAACAAAGGCCATAACAACTATTTTCTTGATGGAGACTTCATGAAATAAGGAAGGTCGCACAGCCGGAAAACTAGTAGTCGTGAGATATGCTCTGTATCTAAGAGGTTTGCCCTACGAATCCGAGATAAAAGGACATTATTAATTTCCATAAGAGATGCCTCGGTCGCACCTCAACAGTGAAGAACCCGGTACAAATTCGGGAGATCAGCAGTTAGACTAAGTCGGAATAAGAGAGTTTTCATATTTTCTAGGATATACACCTATAAAAAAGTTGTTACATATTAAAATCAAGAAGTAAATAAGTTCAGTAACTGAATGACAAAGTTATTCGATTTGAAGGCAATGATAATGACGGATTTAGCAGTCGTCAATGAGAGGCACCACTTCTCCCGACAGAAATGCTAAGCATAACGATCATGATGTTAAGTGGGCAATTACGGTAGCCGAGAGACCAGTGCTGCGGTAACAGCGACACTGGCACTGAAAACAGGTTCGGTCTATGGCTTAATTAACAATGGTGGTAACCAATAACAATGAGTGGCCGTAGTTACGTTTGAGAGCGCACAATCTTGACAAACTTTGATCCGACTAAACACCTGCGAGTTCGTCGCATTACGACTGGAGAACCAAGCCCGGAGCCTCGAAAACAACTGCAGATGAACTGCATGGTTTTGCTCGGTCATGTGTGCACGTACAGTAGGTGGGCTAACTCATGAAATGTCAACCGAAATTCCGAAATGCGTCTTTGCTTCGAAAAGATTATCTAAACAGGGTTGTAAAATTAATTACCGTGCGGCATAATTCTATAATATTCATTCTTTTGCTCATTCGGTAGGCAATTACGTCTTCCACATCTTTGTCGGTAATACCATTCTGCCTAAATTACGTCTGCTTCCAATTTTGTACTCGAAGGAAGGGTAGAATTCGGTTTTTAAAAAACTTATCCAATTCCCGAATGATTTTGAACCCGACCTGACGTTACACTTGCATTCGGGGTTTTCAATCTACAAGCCGTATGTTTTCTGCGCACAAAAAACTATACGCTTCTCCAAGGTATTAAGAGGAGACCATATGAGGTTCGTAAAATTCACCAGTGGTTTCGAGCCATGTTGCTTACTTTACATGCCACATTGGTAAATGTAGAGACATGACGTTTTATGAACGGCTATTTCACGGTATTAAAAATCGCACAATTAGAAAATTATTTAAAACCAATTTATACCTTTCCCTTGAGTATATAATTGGAAAAAGACGCCATCTTCTACCGAATGAGCAGAAGAATGAATATTTTTATGCATGTTTTCTGTGAAATATGATTGAATTTTTAAAAACACCCAAAATCAATGAGAAAATGCGTGAGAATCAAGTAGTTATTTTTTTTACAGAGCACAGTTTTTGCATGCTGTCGGAAAGGAGTATGTTCGGAAGCGGGTATCATGTGGTAACTGGATTATTATAGAATTATGCTGCGCGATGATTAGTTTTACAGCCCTACTTAATTAATATCTTCGAAACGAAAACGTATTTCGGAATTCCGGTTGACATTTCATGAGTTAGCACACCTACTGCACCCTTTGGAAAAAATTTGAGAAAGACATGATTTTCTACAACACGGGCATAAAAACAAATGTTTCCGTGTATATCATCCCCCGAGGAAGACGAAGAAGAGAAAGCCAGTTCATGGACCAGGTTGTATTCAAACTGACGTTTCGGGAACTCGTTTCCATCATCAGAGTCGTTCGCTGGCGTTTCCTGCTGGCCTTGATCTGTTCAGTCTTGCCGCCTGCCTCGTATTACAACCGTGCCCAGCGCACGTTCGTTGGCTAGCCTGTTTTCCGTTGGCTGATTGTCGCCTCCCTGATCCCAGCCATTGTCGGACTGGCGTGGCTTGTGTCCCCCTCACGCCTGAAGTGGTTGCCGCTGCGTCGGCGTGCTCCCCCTCCCTCCCCCCCCCCTGACGCCTCCCCCTCGTCTGACGTGGGCTGATCGATCGTTGTTCCTCAGGCGTGGTTTCCGGCCTCGCAAGTGCGGCCGTGAGAGCGTGCCACGCCGGTCACGTGGCATTCGGTCAGCGCCTTCTCTCTCCGCGAGCGTCGGCAGTCGAGCCCGTGTTTGCGTATCCGTTTGATGAGATACGACTGTATTTATGCGGACACCGGGCATCAGCGAAAAACGCACGCCCCTTCGGTGGGCGTTTCCTGGGGAGTGAAATTTTTACAAATGCACGGGGAAATGCCCGACTGGTGTTTATCAATGGTCTGGGAGCATGTTCGTGATAGTCACTATCATCGCAATCTCACATAAATGATTTTTCAACTGAGTTTCAGTGTTTTGTAAGTTTGGCCACGTACAGTATTTCCCTAGGTAGGACAATATCATTTCAATGAGGACGACGGCGCCATTCTCTCCATACTCATCGCTCGGATGTGTGACAAAAAGGAGAGCCACTTACAATGAGAAACGGTTCCTCCCGAGTAACGAGGTTTACGGGTGTTTGCTCTACAGCCTCCATGACGGAATTCTCGATAGGTTGTTGTTCGATTATCTCCGTATGCTCCGCAGCTACTGCCTCGGATTTTGGGAAGGTAGCCTCATCAACGGCCAGATCAGTCTCCGGAATGCTGGGTTCCAAAGTAGTTGTGGTGAGGGTGGGCTCCGGAGAGACCATTGCCGCACCACTGAATTCTACCACCTCACGTGCCCGATCTCCCACGAAGTCTGGCGTTGATTCCATCTGGCCTGACTCCAGTTGCCCTGACGAGGGCATCTCTGAGGCTGTGTCAACGACTTCCTGGCTCACCATACGTTCGGGATTCCAGGTGCATGGACCGTCAATCTGTTGGGCGGCCTGTTCAAGCTCCCCAGTTTCCAGGACTGGAAGAATGTCACGCATGCATGTCTTCACAATGTCCTCGCGGCCAATACGCCTCAAAGCGTTGTCTAGTTCATTTCCTGCAGTAAAAAACAACCAACCATCAATTTTCTATAGGAAATGAGCGAGTAAGCAACATTGTGCAAAAAATTCGCGCTAACCGGTCGCAGCGTCGCCAGCCTCAGTTTTCCAAGCAATGAGGATAGCCAGGGCGCGATCACGGTCACTGCGTAATTCGTTATTGTTTAGGCCGGCGGCGGCAGCAGTGTCAGCACTAGTGCAATGGCGCATAAGCCAATCAGCCAGATTGTCCGCGGACGGAGGCAATTCGGTGGAGTCGATGGCGAAGAGGGTCATCACAAGTTTGGGCCAATCAGCACCAACTGCAGTGGCGACTTCAATCAGATCTAGGTGGGTCCTGGCGATGGCGTCCTCACCTAGAGCTGGAGACGGAAGGAAACAGAAAAGTAAGAAAGGCCATCAACATAAAGATGGAGGGTAGAAATCCACCGGAAGGGTGTCGTAGTTTGTTCAAGGATGGTGCATATAAGGAAGGCAAGGAGCACAGGACACACCGGCTACCCAACTAGGCGGAGGGACAGACAGATCACGACCGTGGGAGTCGAAATTTGGTTGTTTTTGTGTAACATGTTCGTACTGATGAGGCTGACTGCAGGACAACGAAACAACGGAGACACGACCGACGGAGGTTGCTCCAATCGTTTCGTTCGGCACGTCCCCACCTGAACCTACTGCGGGACCTGTGAACTGCAAAGCAAGGTGCTGATGTTCTAGGTCGGTGGGAATTTTAACCTCCAGGCCACAGATTGATCTTACTGGAGGGGGCTCAATCTGCGTAGCCGAATCATCCTGAATAGGGGAAAGAAACAAACAGAGTAAACAGTTGAGCAATGACTATTGATGCTTTTGAAAAATATTAAGAAGAGAGGCTTGAATGGTCACTTTAAGCTTATTAAGCAGCCATGCAGGGAACTCCCAGAACGCCCTTTGAGTTAGCTGGTGGGCCTACCGCCACACGTACCTACTTGCCACTGGTCAAACTTTTAACTTCTGCGACAGCATAAACTTGTTTCTCTTTTTACTTATAGTTTGCATTACAGACGCAATGCTTTGCAGTTCAGTGAATACATAAAATCCGGACCTCAACTATAGCACATGGACAAAATTGACTGATGTGAGAATACTTTGGCATTACATACTTTTATATTCCCAACTGCAACTGACAGGTTGACTGCGCGTGGTTCGGGTGATATAGAATTTGACTAAATAATCAATTAAACTCGGGCTGAAACTTCAGGCTGGTTAAAGTATGCTTTTTCCTGTGTCCAGCAGGAAGTTTGTACCACTATGCCAAGCCTTCTCAGCAGTTCTGGCGTTGTACCAACGAATTATGAAGAATTCCCTGAATGCTCTAATAACGCATCTACGAAAGTTTGCCGGTTCTTGCGAATTTTCGCTCATTACGTGTTTACAAACAGTTCATGTCTTATCAGCCAGAAGGGTGATTCTGCGTCTTGCATTCAAAATATCCGAGTTTCCAACCTTTCCTATCAGATCTCACATTTATTGATTAATTTTGCTAGAATTATGGGGATATTGGCATTACTGTCGCTGTGTGGGAATGCCGTGGCGCACCCCCTTTCGGGCCTGACAATTTTGCTGTGGAAGTTCAGGGGCTGAACTCCCAACTCGTATTCGCGGGACGTCGGTTCTACTCCGTTCATCAACAAGCGCTTTCCGGCGCAGTTATTCCGTCATTTTCATAATCCGCCCTAAGATTTGTTGCCGTTATAGACAGACCGTAGTGGCGCATGGAAATGACTTGGGATTATACTTCGCGGTTAACGGCATCGCAACCTAACTTAAGTAAACTTTCCCCATTGGTGGTATGTACCACGATTTAAGTCGATATTTCACGAGTTTTAGTACTTTTTGTAGTGTTCAGAAGCAAACGGCGTAATGCACATTGTCACTGATTCCAAGATACATCCTTTTCGCAATACACAATTCACAATAGGGAATTTCTCGACGGAGTGTGAACGACAGCAAGGATTCCAACGACTTTTCCTTGCAGTTCGGGTATGCGTATTCACAGGGCTGAGTGGGTATACAAGCTGAGTGCGTAAAGTAGTCGGCGGTTGTGCGCGGCTTTTATTTGCCGTTTCCTCAAGTGTCTTTCGACCAGTTAGGACACATTCCTAATGTAAGGAAGGATTCGCCAGGAATTTACTTTGCGTGCTCGACTGGAACTACCCAGTTCCTGTGTTTTTATCTATTGCTGTCTCATGTATCGACATAGGAAATCTCTAGGGTAACCGTTTTGGGGAAATAATTCAAGCAGGTAATTTCGTTTAACTTAGTAGTTTCGTTGCCCGACAAATGCATTTTTGCACGATGTAGAGGACTTTGGACAGTACTTCGTTTGCGAGAGATAGGGCTGTTGCTCTCGTAGCGTAAAACTACTCACGCATATGTTTCTTTGCGGTAAAAGGGTGTGTGTAATGTTCTGTCAATCTTTCGCTGTAGAAGAACATCCATAAATGCGAGTTTATTGTCAGCTTATTTTTCGAGTGTGAATTTAATTCCGGAATGGTTGAGTTGATGATGTTGCGGTTACCCTAAAGATTTCGTACGTAAATGCATGAGACAGCAAGAGTTAAAAGCAACGAAGTAGATAGTTCCAATCAAGAGCCCCAAGCAAATACTTGGCGAATCCTTCCTTACATTAAGAATGCGTCTGAACTCGATGAAAAATGGTGTACAACCCGACGAATGGGTTATGCACTCAGCTTGTACACCCTAAGGATAGGGTTGTCTATTTTACTAAGAAGTACGTCGTCTATAAGATCCCACGCGATGCGTGCGATGTCGTATATTGTGGCCAAACGGGAAAATTCGCCTCTACACGCATCCACGCACATCGACTGGCAGTTAAGAGGCGAGACCATCTGTCTCAAATGGACATGCGCATCCTCGGTACTAGGCACACCTTCGCACGGGACAAAACTTGCATCGTCGGAGTTTGCCTCTCCAAAAAGGCCGAGTTTTTTGAAGCCATGTACTCCGATGGGTCACACATCAAACGGCACATTGAGTTAGATGCCATGCATGAAAGTTTCAGGGAAAGGCAGGAAAGACGAGAGCCAATCAATGCAAAATGGCGCACACGGCGGTCGCTTGCTGGCGCAAATAACAAATGAATTTTAATTTTTCAGCACGTTTGAAGTTTTACTTGCTTTTTGCACATTTGCTCAAGTCTGACGACGACCTAAGCAACCAACTAATAAAGTTCGCTATTTTTCTCAAATAACCTATTTGACAAGACAATGCACAGAAAAACGTCTCCAGTCCTACGACACCAACATTTCTGCATCTGCTTTGCTAGAATTCCTGACCTACGTTTGGAAAATAACTTCTCGTTTGCGCAGGAAGACTACCAACAACTGAAGGAAAGTCCTATGGGATCACCCATTTCTGGCTTTCTGGCAGATGTCACCATGCAAAAATCAGGAACTATCCCCCTACCATTAGCTAACCCAAGGTTATGAGTACGTTGTGGTGACACTTTCGTTGATGTTAAAAAAGATCAACTGGAAATGTTCCACAGCATTATCAACTTAACGCTTCCAGAAATCCCATTTACACTCGAAAAAGAGGTTGGCAACAAACTCCTCGTATGGAGAAAGACTGACGGGAAAATTCACACATTAGTTTACAGCAAGGAAACCTATGCGAAGTTCTTTTATAATACGAGAGCAATCACCAGATCTCTCACAAACGGAGTATCGTGAGCAGCCTCCTTAGTCGAGCAAAAACTCACTGCTCTGCCAATGAAAATTACCAAACAGCACTGAATTATTTGTTCAAACTGTTTCTACAGAATGAGTATCCTAGATATTTGGTACATTGATGCACGAGACAACAGGAGTTAAAGGAAGAAGAATAAGACTGTTCTGACCAGGCGCCTAAACCAAAAACTGGCGAACACTTCCGTACATTATGAATGTATCCGAACTTATAAAAGACACCTGAGGAAGCACCAAATACGCGTGGCGCACAAACCGACGACTACACTTCGCAATTAGCTTGTACACCCTAAGGATAGGATTGGCAATTTATATAAGAAGTCGCCTATAAGATACCATACGGCATCTGCAATGAAGTTTATCGTGGTCAAACTGGAAAATCTGCCTCTACATGCATATATGAACAGGGAGGTCTAGAGCAGCCAGCGACAATCAGGCAGGTTAAAGTTCGTGCATTGTGTTGGTGGTAAATACGCAAGATTCAGGTAATTGAATAAATGAAGACTGAAACGCGAGCTCTTGGAACAGTTATATACACATTCTCGAATTTTGGGATGGAGCTGAAAAACTGCTCACCGGTAAGAGGGGATTCGCTTTAGCATCAGTGCCTGGCCGCGGGTCTCGTAAGAAGGCGAGTTTGCCTGTGGGCTCTAAATCCACGTCCCGAATGCGCACCGGAAAAGCGAGTCGATTTTCGCGGAAGGCATTGAAGTGCAAGCGCAGCTGGTCATCCGCCTTCACGACTGGTGCTAAGTTGCCACTGGCCTCCAGCCAAGTAGGCTGATTATCGATCACCTCGACTTCGCTACTAGTTGCCACGAGGTCGAAGCCTTCCTGGCACTCCAGAGTCTGTATGGTGAGGGGGGAAAGGAACTACGGGGTTCAGAGCGAACAAAAGCGGAATCTCATAGGAAAGGCTGATAAGATTAGTCCGGTCGGAAAAATTAGTGCCCAGAAGAGATTGGAAAGTCTTTATCCTAAACCTCAACGTATATTCCAGGCATTTCGCCTTACGAGGGAAAAGGGACAGAGGATGAAACACGCAAGAACACAGACTTGCCTTGTCAACCTTGTCGTCGGTAATGCAGAAGCAGCGAATAAGGGCCTCGTCAATTTCCGGTCGTTTTGCAAAGACTATGAACTTTCCCATGTAGGGCACCGAAGCGACCTCATCGTAGAGACGCATCGCGACCTGTACCGTTGCAGCCACTTCCGGGCAGACGATCAACCAGAATCTGAGAAAGACAGCATTGACGAAAAACCATTTAGACGCTTTCAAGAAGGTCACCGTTTACAGACAAACGCTTCATTATTGGCAGGGTGCACTGGATAAACTTGGCCCCTCAAATAGTGAAGCCATTGAGTCACACGCAACTGTGTGTCAATGACGCGTGCGACAGAAGCGGCTTTCCGGAATAAAGCAAGCATGAGATCATGTGCAGCCGGAACGGCAAACAGTAAGATGGCCCTTCCGTCTCCCATCCGAACGCGACAGATTGACCAAATGAACAGTACAACCTTAAAGCAACATCGTACGAGCCTGCTTGCGTCTTCAAAGGCGAGTGAAAGTGAAGGCATACCGAGCGAACGAAACGGAACGGAAGAAAAAGATGAGGGGGGCGGTGACACACAAAATAAGCAGAGAAGAGAAAATGTGCCGCACAGGTAACCCAATCCGTAAATGGAAGTCACCAGTAAGTCGGTAACGTAGCGAACCGTCGCGCTCGACGAATTAACCGCATTGACCGCAAATAAACCACAGAGTGAGCTATGCGCACAGGTATGGGTGGGAATGTGGCACAATTAAAATAACAGCAGCAGGAGATGCAGGAGAGGATTTTGTCCCTCACCCTACCGTTACCCCAGCAGTTCGACCGTCATGTCCGACGATGTCAACCGTGCGCTCCACAACAGGGTGGAGCAGGCAAGGTGACTTGCGCGTGAATTAGTTTAAAGTAAGAGTGGACTAGCACAGCACCTGTTGCATAGTCAAGAAGACCGTGGGTGAGGGAGGGCGCAGGTGGTTGACAAGGCCAACCCCGCGCATAGGCGTACTACCACACCCCCTGGTTCATAACAACTAATTGACTGGGATTCTAACCAACAACAGCACCACAACGGGTCAGAAAGACGATGATGACTGGGCAGCCATGCTCACGACCCTTTTGTCCAGCGGGAGCGCAAGCGCATTTATCAAACTACTAACTGATGAGGCAACTTTGTTCTCGGGCTGCAATAGCTCTACCTTAACACGGCCTTAGCGAAACTCACACTGATATAACATCTCGTTGAGTGAAATTTGGTTAGTGCCAGCTGTGGGACCAGTATGAATGTGCCATCGGAAAGAATGGGATAAATTCCTACACCTTGTTCTGACATTGGAAAACAATGAGTGAGGGAAGAGAGTGAGGTCAATGCTGCGCATGCCATTCTTACTCCTTCCAAGTCATACGACTGCAACAGAATACCATTTGATGTCCAGCGGTAGTGGTTGATAGTTTTATTGACAATGGCACGAAATGCTTAATTGCGTAAGCTAGTCATTTCGTCTGACCCAACTTGACTACCTATCAGGACTCAACCCAGGGCCTTGAAGAGAAAAGGGAAGCACGTATTAAGTTTTGTAAACAAATGAGCGTCATTTCTGTGTGACATGTTTGACCAAACTCAGGGACCATACGACTAAAACGGCACCGAAGTTCAAGTGGTCCGAAAAGGTGACTCTATTTGTTACCGAGAATATGGGAAGAGGATACCGAGGATTTAAACGATGATCAATGTGTGTGCGTGTGTGTGTGTGTGAAGATAGGCATGAGCTATTTGTCAGGAACTGATTCTCCCGATGGAGTAAAATATTGACTCGTAAACTCCTAAACGGACTTTTGAAGATCGGTCAAATTAAAGTCGATCCCTCATGACGACAAGTACGATATCAGCTTATGCGTCATAATATTCCCTACTTATTGGACATTTAGGCTGACGACCATAGCTCACCGCCTGACCGACTAGAGTGCAGATATGTTGATGACACTGCTCTTAGTCAGACGACTTTAATGATGTCCCTGCATGGTTGCCCTAAAATTGTCCCCCGTGCAATATGCTGGATGTAGGCCTGGTGTTTCTTCTAAAAACATCATGACACGAATTCTGCATAGACTGTAACTATTTACGAAACATTAGTGCTGTCATATCATCCAATTCCCATAGTTTATTCTGTGCTGAGTATCTTTCTAACAACCTTCACAAACCAGTCAGTCTGAGTTCTAAGCAGTAGTCCTAACTTTAGCATGAAGGGCATTTCCGAGTAACTCAATGTATCCTTCATATTCCTTCTGTTGTCCCTGTACCATTCCTGTTTATTCAATGTCTTCATTCAAAGGCTTCGCCTCACTCAGTCTGTCAGATAGGGCTTGATATAAGAGCAGTTTCCACTACGAAAGTGGGACATTCTCATTAAAACCGACTACGAAGAACAGAAACACTCAGCTATAAGAGTCCAACTCCCCACTACTTCGCACCAGGTACTCTACCTATGAGTTATGACAGCTACGCATGCCTGGTGTGAGGATTAACCGACACTCAGGCCTAGTTCCAGCAAGATGCCTTCAGTAATATCCCAATTATTTCGATTACAGACTGGCGGGAGTCCGTCGTAACGATGGTCTTTCGCTTGTACTAAACCTGTCTTGTATTATCGGCAGAAACGGCGCTCAAACCGAAAAGAGGCCCGATTTGCGAGTCAATAAAGGCGAAAAAACGGTTAATTCGCACGACTGGCAAGCGAATCCGAAGGAAGGAGGGGGGACTGGTCCACACGTGCAGCAAACGTTTTTCGCATTTGTCAGTACCACACGTCTCATGGACTGCCCTGAGAAATCACCTGCCTGCTGAAATTACATGCTATGCCAAATATCTGTCGCACTCTCTGTATGTACTTCGATTTCTGACTGCGTAGTTTTCCCAATTTCCCATATTTTTCTCGATAACTCGTATCATTGCAAATTACCATAGGCGCGTTGCCTTCTCTACTAGAGGCTAGCCGCCATAAATACGGCAGGACCACCATCACTCGTGAGATAACAGAACTACCGATCGCAGGTAAACAATTCTCGAAGGCAAAGCGGAGAGTTAGCAATTTGCGCGCATCTTACAGCTTCAAATTACCAACTTAAAAGTCCTGTAGATTGACAAAGTACATTAGTCGATTCCGTTTTTCCCACTCCCTACCCTAATAAAGGCGACGGAAAAGCTGTAAAGTTGGGAAAGAGGGTAAGTAGAATGATGAGGGCTTACCTAGCAGAGACAGTGCTAGTAAAAGAGACACAGTCCTTGACACGTGACAAAGGCGTAGTGCCCGTAATGTCCTCCCACACGGCCGGTGTGGTACCGCCTGTGATGCTGCAGAGCAAACGTAGTGAGTTCATGTCACCCGGCTTACCAGCCAGGGCCGACCGCGGTAGGGGTATGGTGAGGGTAATTGGCTTGTGGAACTTACGACGACGCGGCTCGACGGTGACAATGGGTGAGGCCGTCACCCGATTGCCCACCAATCGAGCCACCAGGTCCGGTGGAATCTGATGTGCCTAAAACGATGGCATGCAGGAGGGAAGCGTAAAGTAAAAAGTGCACAGCGTGTAACAGGCGAAGACATATGACTTGTCCTGAGGTCTAAGAGGAGGTAAAACCCGTGAAATACTAACAAAAACCCTTAAAAACAGAAGATAGATACCGAAAAAGACAGCAGGGACTGGGATGTTCATTTCTGGTTGTCGCCAGTCATTCACACTCCAATTATAGATTTGGACAAACTGAGGCAAAACTAGAACGACTGAATAACCACAGGTTAAACCGAATGCTACATGATTAGGCCCCGATTACCAAGTGAGAAATAGGCATCAGTCTGTCTTACATTTGAAGGTATTCACTTTGCATCATTACTTCCTGTTATGTGTGACCTCCCGTATGGCTCTAGGTTGAGCTCCCAGGGCACAGCATGATGAGCGCTTCCGCAGTGGAATTATGTCGGTGAGCGACTCTTCCATATAGAATGGATTGCTTAAATTGGATTTCAACTCCTACGAGCCTGGTACATAAACTTCCGTCAAATCAGACACCGTGACGGGCTAACCTTAGATCGAGTCGTAATCGGAGGAAATCACAAAACATTAAGGGTAATATATAACGGACGGCGAAAACTTACCACGGACGGATTACACACAGACGTGTGAACATGTAAAACAGCAAGGCTATCATGCTAAATTTTGAGACTATGCAGGAGACAGATTTCATAAACCCCATCGAAAACCGGTTGCAGCATATAATGCGCAGAAAATTAATTCTTAAAAAATTAAACATGTGAAATGAACCTGAAAATACAACGTAGACTTTAAATTCCGTTTAGGGGCAAGACGAAAGAGAAGGACGTTCAAAAGTGTTAACAGAGATAAATATCACTACTTCTCTTGAAGTACGTTAATCGAGGATGGTCACGCCGGCCTTAACGTAGTTTTTTTCGATCGATCATGTCTCTGGTTTAAAGCAATCAACACGACTTCGAAAAGCCCTCAAGGTGAACTGGCCTATTCTTACGTTGCAAGTCTGCTGGATGCTCTTAAACAATCAGAAGTCAACTAATGTGGTGCTTCATGAGGGAGATATCGTCAAAGCGTCCCCCTTTTAAATAAACTGAGGCTGTGCCTCTAAATATGCATACATAACGAAACAATTTCCTATCAGTTAAGATGCGAAATCCAAATGCAAAAAGAAACGGCTGCCTCGACTATATTTGTCATAGAATGTACGATTCTCACACATTCACCTCAATACCTCATAGTTCTACCGCGTGTGGCTATCACTTGGCCATTACTCCATGGCATGGGATGTTGGGGTGTCCGGTTATGGGAGAAAAGCAATAAGTATCTTGTCCTAGATTTGGTTCAAATCAAGTTTCAGCCATCTCAGGGTGTACAGGAACCCCAGCCAATTAATTTTTCCTTCTAAATGGTCGTATGTGTGGTCATTTAAATTCAGGACTATGGGATGCGCCGGGCAAGGAAGGATTCGCATCCTGTTAATCTCTTCAGAGGCTTCAGCAAGACTCAGTAGTGATGATGAGCCACGTTATCATCCTGCAGTAAGACTTCTGTAGTCCTATTCTCCCAGTGCCCGAAGCTATTGTTTACCACTGACATTTCTACGTCGGATCCCGAACTTCCTTTTATCCTTTCCGTGCACTGTCCTAACACAAGTGCAGTGACCTCCCAGCACCCCGGGCGATGGGAAGAACGAATCTCCTAGCAAAACTTCGCCGGTTGTCTGCCAAATTTTAATTTGTTCATCTCCGGGTTTTAGAGTGAACCGTAATTCGTCGGTTAAAATAACTCAACTACAGTATAAAGTACAGTGCAACAGTGAACGTTTGACCGAACTCAGCGCTGTGCCTTATGCAGTGGGCGAAGCGCAATTGACGATTGCGTGAATGAGTTCATGGTGAGACGAACTTGCGCGATATCTGCCGCATTCCCTTCTTCCTTAACCGCCAGACTCCGATGGTAGGACAACGTCAAGACGACCGGAGGCGGGCTCGAGCAGAGTGGCCAACATGGCCAAACAACCCGGTCCAGGCACCGATGTACGGAGTTTTCACAAACAAGGAAACGCCCCGGACCTGACTCTAATGAGTATCATTAGGAAGGAGTCATAGAGCTTGGCTCTCAATCCTCGAGTCACGAACTCCATATGCAAACAGTACTAACCACGAAGACCAAGTTATCTCATCCATTGAAAATCCCCCAAGCCACGACTTTTAGTGCGTCATAAGCTACCGCAGAGAGGAATGAACTGACTTCGTGTGGGGATGGATTCCAGTGTCGGTTTCACTTTCTCTTCCCAGTCGACTGTCCGGGCCTGTCGACCAGTTGGTGATGAAATTGGGAGCAGAAGCTGACAGAGCTAGATGACCCGTCTGCGTGTGTCACACACGACCTGATCACTTAGTTTACCAGCATACATCAAAAGACATGCTTCTAACTTACGTGAGATGTGCATGTTCAGGCATGTGGCGTTGCGCCAGCAATGCAGTGCGCATAAATTTATATAAAGGGACGCGTCTTAGGCACCTACTTCTGAGATGGATGCTATTCAACCGTAAACGAAGTGGGCAACAAAGATGTTGGGAATTGACAAAATCTGTGTAATGTTGGGGAGAAAGTGAATGGGTTGGATGGCGTGACTGACAGAGCGTGATAAAGCCGGCTTTTTTCGGCGGCGCCACTCTTAATATAACAACGCAGCAGAACGATGGTTCGCCTTCTTACATCATTCGGAGGCCCATATAACAATCTTAACTAGTTATCAGCGGACGTTTATCTCCTCTTTGGCCTATGGGAATGCATGCTCGTGCTTATCACAGACGCTTTGAAAATGTAAAACGTTCGGTGATACAGTGCTCGGGCACCGAAAAAGTTAATTACGAAGCATGCGTGAGAACTCGTACCGTTCGTCGGAAGTCCCCGAAGACAACAAAATACGCCGCTGTGGAGCATGGAGTCGCTCTCGACAATAAATCTGCCAAAACAGCTGTGAATAAACTAGAAGCCATTATGTGCAACAGGTCTCCATTGGCCACATACAAACAGAAAGCAGGCGGACTTATGGTGCTTATATGGTTTCGCGCTGTGAATTTATTCGCAATTATGCGCACCGGACAGCATAAAACCTGAAATTCCGAATATAACAGCACAAACTAGCGACGCGGAGGGGGTGGACAGTTGCCGCAAGTTCCCCTTCACACTCGGGGGAACCCCGTGAAACTGGATTAATGATCACAGGGATAATGTTGAGGGTCGACGAAAAGACGTGGCAAACGCCACATGGTGCTTGTACAACTAACAGCAGCTTAATAACGCGGCAAATTTGCCTGTTTCGAGTCCAAAAGGCGTTGCGCCCCCGTTGTCAGAGGATGTGATCCCGTTTCTAGTCAAGAATGCACGCAGCTCCACACGTGGCGGCATCACAAAAGTTCCCAGGATGGAATCCTGCATGAATCCGAAAGTTCAGACAATGATAATAGCGGTTCCGCCAAACGATCTCTCTTATTTTGAGCAAGAACCAAAAAAATTTCCCCTTCCCCGTCAACGATTCATGATGATAAAAACTGTCCACCTATGGAGCATTAAGTCCGAAAAAGGTGGTGGGAACATGGTATACCGTCAGAAGATCATACCGGAAGACATAAAACTGGTAGGAGGGCGCTCACCGATCGTGCTACGGATTTCACTCGTCCCTTTGGGCCTTGTGGCTCTCTCTCGAGCCCGCCAGCTGCCACACCACGATGCGTGATATAGGCAGAATAGTATTACCGACAAAGATAAGGGAGACTGAAATGATCACTTCTGGCTTATTAGCCGTCGTCAGCCAGATATGAGACTGAATGCAAAACTCTCGTGGCATGAACGAGTTAGGGCACAGTGACCAGTAAGATTTGGAGGCCCTGCGCACTGTTGTAAGAGGCCTAAAAAGTGCCAGTGTCACAGATAAATGACGCATGCATGCACCGTGTCTATACTGTCAACAGACATTCCGGGCAAGGGTCGGTCATGTTGGACATCTGCCAAACCAGTGTAACACAAACACGAACAACCTGTCTCTCAGCAAGCAAAACGCAACCAATACCCTTACCATCAGCATCCCCAGTGAAGACACGTACCATCGTGCAAAGCATTACCACTGTTGCCCTCACTATCAGTTATATGAAAGTAGCTCCAACCTACCTGCCTTGCGATCGCACGCTCACGTCAAACATTGACCTGGTCGGTCGTTGAGACCGGAGAAGCAATGCAAGGAGTCCCTAGAAACACCGTTTATACACGTCCCACCTGTCTACGCTGTCTCAGGACTATCGATACTCGTATGGGCCTATTCGGCCATATGCACCTCCAGTAAGACACCATAATCCAGACCCCATCAGCACACCCGCCGGACCTACCATTCCCGGCCTGCATATTAACCTACTTCACTACACGCGCATACATTTTTTGCCCATAACATTTTGTTTGTTCTGCAGCAAGCAAGCGATTCACTTTGCTATCGCCATTATGATGGGCGAAAAGCCGCATTTCAATATATGAAAATCTCACTTACATTAGAAGTCCGGCCTTTATTGTGGCCTGGCACATATAGTAGAAAACAGGTCGCGAGTTTAGCTTCGCCAACAACGGCGCCCATCTCCGGTCGTCTACAGCTCATTTCAGAAGGCCAAACGATTAGGACTGTCCGTCCAACTAGACGTTGACCATGGCTGATAATCCTATATGCTAGTTTCGTTGGTTGTCACAAAAGCTGCGGGCGGTTAGCCTGCGTTCCAGTGTAATCGATGCTGTGCTGGCAGGAACAATGTGGCCGCGCGGATAGGCTGGCGTCAGCTTGAGTACGGGAAGAACCGATGAAGGCCGCAGACATGACGACACAAATTTCAGGTGTCGTCAGAACAAATAGATTTAGACCCTCAGGTTACCACGCGCACAGTGAGAATGTAGCGGCTAAGCGGCGATGGTGTACGCTCAGTACGCCACAACTTCAGGCCATATCCCAAGTTGTTAAGAAGAAGGACGTCATTTGGTTAGGACAGAATAGTGAAGGGGAACGTTGGCAACCGGACAAGGATGCGTCCGGCGTCCCGGAGGCGACATCAGCGAGAGCGACGAGCCCTGTGTCGCCGAAGGTCGCCGCTGCAAAAGTGTTGTTGCAGATTGTCTACTCTATTGTTCTGGACTGTTCCCGCCTGTCTTACCAATCAGTGATAGGAGGTGTGTTGATTGGCTCCGAGCCCACGCGAGGGCAGTGGCAAGCCTCGAATGGTGCAGGCAGAGTATCGACCAGATGCGTGGTGCAGACAGTGAATTGCAAGGAGACAAATCGAAGCCGGGCAGACGTGCGTGCCATAGCAGGCTGTCGCTAGGACGTAGGTGCAGGCGCTAGCGAGAGGCGCGACGTAGCCATCATGGCTGTCCACTAAAAGAATCCTTAAATCGAGCAGCCCACTCTTGAGGTGTGGTCGTGGGGCGCATGTAATAGGAATCGTAAGACGGTAATTAACACCACAACATCAGACGCAGGCCAATCACCAAAATTTTAGATAGTTACCCGCAAACGGATCAAAGCTGTTTAAAAATATGGGTGACCAAAAAACTTGTTCCAGAAAGAAGGGATCACCTTTTGGGAAGTGCACGTGAGAGATGACATTTGTTGCGCCTGACGGTTATTCCGCGAGCTCGGCAATATGCATCGCAAAGTAACCCATTCCAAAACCTTGACGCAAGGCGAACTCCCCAACAGCTATACGCCTCAAAATAAAATCGACAACATACTTTGCCGAGCACGCTGGGTAAACTCAATGCTAAACTTCCGCGCGGTACGTGGTACGGACAGCGACAGTGAGAATGACCCCGAGGATATTCCTGTGAGGACTCCGTTGCGGATCACATTATGTGTCGAAAGGACCCAACCTATGAAAGAATGCCACGCTGACCGCCCACAGGATCCTGTCTTTTCCACATACTTAGTCAGGCTGACCGCAATCGCTTTGTCAGTGACACAGACAGAAACCACGCCTGAGGAGGCCTCTTAGAACAAAAACTGGCTTTTACTGAAGCAAAAAGCGCATTCTTCAGAATACATCTACAACAGTGTTAGACAACAGCAGGCATCGTGGCAAGGATTAAATACCCGTGAGACAATCCGACTGGTTGATAATCTAAGGGCTGTTCGTCTTCGTAGTGATCCATATTTCAGAGGACTGCGTTGACACACGAGCTCCAACTAATTGAAATGCGAGAAGACTGTATCTGACTGTATCCGCCAGCTTCCACCACCAGGGACGGCCAAAGTATAGTAATCAGACCCGTTTCGGACGCGACACTTCAGTGGAGGAAGCACTCTGCCCAGCTTCTGAACTAGCAGACTCGGCTATCTTACCTGCCATCCGGTTTTATGACGCGCGGGCGCCAAAATATGTCTGCGATTACAATCAACTATCGATCGAAAAGATCCTTGACGCGACTGCCAAACCGGAAAAAAGCGTAAATTTCTTCGGTAGAAGACTCCCTGACGCTGCCGAAAGTCTTTATGGTCATTGCCGTCAAGCGCTTGCGGTTGTACTGTCATGCGTGGGCGAGAAATAATCGAAGTGATTCTCAGTCTAGATGGGGATTTTTCTAACTAATGCTTCCGCTTTTGTTGAATTCTTAAACATCGCAGTCGCTACGAACAGCCCATCATAGTCTATTTCGTGGATATTGCCTTTAATTCTGGCTTCCGCCGTCGGAGTCGCTTGAACTCGATGGTTCAGCTTGGTCCTGCAGCCGCACTGGAAATGGATAAAACCGGATTGCCTGTATGGTGGTAATAGGGTTTTCACGGGTGAGGCATTCGGACACGCCAGAGCTTTAAAAAGGAGAGTGTAGGCAGAACGGGAACGAGGTGCAAGTACATTGAGCACTTGGTACGCACTGTGCCTTTGACGTAACCTGGTAAATGCATTTAACACATATCTCAAAAGTGCCTTTTCAAAGTATACAATTTCAACATAGTCACGTCTACTCAAACCAATTCAGTAGATAAACAGTATAATATACCTCAAGTGGGGCTGGAGAACCAAACCTATTCGGTGATATCGGGCGACGGTATGCAGCCAAAAGTAGTCCACTTGAGTAATGTCTAGCATCGCAGAAAAAGGAACGAATTCTGTGTCAATAGCGGGGAAATTGACTTCCCTTATGCCAAGCTCAGCGTTAGCCAGAGTCGCGTCCTCTCACTGACCCTGATCATTTAGGGGGAAAGACTGTCCTTAAACATACGTTGGCAGACCACCCAGATGCAACGGCAAGCGGTGGTCTGTGCATTAAGAATCTTGACTGGGATTCAGGCGTGGCAGGGTCTGGGAATTGGCATTATCGCGTTACGTCCGGTTGACCGCCCACGGTAATGTACTGGTGGTTCTTGTCAAACACATAGGAGGACCCTGGTGAACGCATCGCCCTCCTGGGATTAAGCTCTCATCTATTGCTCCAAGAAGCAGGGCTCCGTAGGAGGGTCACATCCCGGTAGGCATCGTTGACCGGCGAGTTAAGCCGTATGAGGTTATTCGGTGTGTATATTTCCCAACTCCGTAGATATCTTGCGGTCTCACTCTCCTCTCCTCCGAGAGGGGTAGAGAAAGTGCTATAACAACTGACCGTGAACGTCAGTCGAGATAGAATATGTCAAAGCAATTCTCGTTCCCATCCGCCTCCTGCCTCCGAGACAGAATTAACAAAACAACCCTCGCTCTCACCCCCCCCCCCTGCCTCCACTGCCAGGGCAACTTTGTTCACTTCGACATAGTGGAATGGTTGTTCACTTCTAGACAACCCAACGGTCAACAAATTGATGGGGATGACAGTCGCTTGCCAACTCGCTTGATGCAATATGGGTACCGCTGTCTTTAGTGAAACCCATTTCTTCAAACAAAAAACCGAATAGAGTAGGTGCTGGATGCTGCAAAACTCCACTCTATTGTAAACAAATTTGAGTGCAAGTCACAGCTGCGTCCAGCTCTCGACAGTGATCCACTTGGTCGCCTGCGGCAGTTCATATATCACAGGTATTGGCCACACAGCCATCGGCCGACTCCATCAAAGTCCCTGGGATTGGCGAGTAATTAGAAGACATAACCGCAAATATACGAGGCTTCTGTTAAGACAATTCTTCGGAGTGGGCGTAACAGATGCATCGTATACTCAAGAGATAAACCACCTAGAATTTACTAATGGTTCCTGACCCAGTTCACGGTATCCGCCTCTTTGATTGCGTATTTCACGAACGATTAGACAGTCAGTCGCGAACAGAACTACTCAACTGCGCCATCCTTTCCCACCGACTAAGGTGCCTCGGTCACGTGCTGCGCCAGTCTCAAGATCACCCTTACCTGGCCATGGCTGGCGGCTGGGTAGAAGTGGCCAACTGAAAACACGGTTGAACGCGGTGAGAGGACCTCGGGCGCATATCGGTGTTCGGGGCTGCATGCCAACTGGTTTAGCTTCATTCGGAGGTCTGGCGTCGACCAACTAGTGGAGAACGACCGTCCTTTATGTATCGAGTCTACAACGTGGGGCAGGTTAAACTGGTTATGGATCCGTCACAAGTACGAGTTAGGTTCTCTAACTCTACATCGATGAGGAAACACTCGAAACGACCGATTTGAACCACCTACGAGGCGGCAAAAGCGAGTGTTGTGAGTGTTAAAATCCTGCAACCCTCACGTTGATATCAAATCACCGGATAAACCAGACACGGCAGGTCCCCCCCGATCCGATAGCTTATTGGTCGATGACCATCATGAGCGGGGCGAGGGTCGTGACTTACGCATGGATTGGATTACACGAGAAGAATGTGCACAGAATCGACCCCACCCTCTCGTTCCACACTGACCACCTTCGAACATGGATTCGAAAGTTGAGGCTGTAACTGTCCAGGGATAAGGCGTCTGTATGCGGGTACCACAACAAAATTGCTATCTCATGCACAAACAAATTCGGTTTCAGGAGCAAATTCAACAGCACCTGAGAGTCACGTCGGTAAGTCTCATTCAGCTTCGGTAACCAGTCGAAACGGCTGCGGAGGTGTGACTCTTGTGTTCAGCAGAGTGTAGTGGAGCGTTCGACTAGACCTAGACGCCGGGTACAGTCAGAGTGGCATGATTATTGCAGGTTGCTAGGCTCCACGCGTGGATGTCAATCCGTCAAAATGACTACCCTCTTCATGTGCATCCGGAAATATAGTCACGCTACAAACGACCCAGAATACTAGAAAACGAGAACTTGAAGAAAGAACACTATAGGACTACCAGGCGGGCGATAACGTTGTCTGGGAGGCCCTCTCACCCCTGGCAATATGCTTATTCTTAACGGATATTTAAATGTAAACTTCACTAAAAGACTTTAGTCATATTTTCCCAATTTCTTGCATGGAGAGGCCTTCTGTACATCGAAAACTGGAGTTTGCCAAATTACAACCATTTTTGACATCCTTGGAATCTTGCGCGTTTCCTCAAAACATCGGTATTTCTAAGCAACGCAATACTGCATTTAATGTTTCTTTTATATTTTACATTCCCTTAAAGTTGCTATTTATCAATATAAATATTGGGTCCACGCATTGGTGTCGGTTTGTGTGTGATTAGCAATCGATCGTAAATTTCGACACCTTTCAACTGTTAGGTCACCTACCGTAAAGCCCTGCACGGAATTCGGAGCGCAGAAGTCTGGCGTTCTTCATAACATGGCCGCCGCATCTGCTGGCACAGTGATGCGTGTTCGGAGGGAGACTTTAAGTGACGGTCTGGAGGACTTCATCAACATTCAAAAGAGGGTCTGCGTCGGCTAGGTGTTTTGAATAGAGGGTTAGGGTCTTTGTGCTACCGCAAAGGCAAAGTACAACAGAGCTCGTCGAGCGCCCAAAGTAGCGCAGTCTTAAGCTAAGTTGTGTTACGAAGACTTTGCGCAGGCCGAACGAGTAGCGAAGGGGCTTGCAAGTGCATCGAACGCTGGCCGCAGACAACCCAAGTGGCGAAACGCCCTACACTTATTTTACAAATCAAACAAATTTCGGCCTCCATTTCTTGAGGGACGGACTACGGAGGGCATCAGTTCCCGAAAAAAAATTTCTGTAATCACAACAGTGGCGAAAAAAGCGTGACAAAACATGGGAAAAGTGGCACTCGCTACATTTGCAGCAAAACAGTTTCACAATTACGGTGCATCTTACAGTTTATACCGTGACCGGCGACAGAATATAACAAACAGACATCAATACAGAGGGACTTAAACAACGGGAATAAGGCCAACGTGGTACACATAATAGTAGGAGACGACAATGAAGTGACCAGGAGAGAGGAGATAGAATACAACACATGGCCACGCACCTGAAGTCCAACACGAATTCTTTTCTGGAGGGTGCCCTCGGGAAAAACGGCCTGTACCTGGGGCACCACAGTTGAGCTTAATACGCCGCCATCCGACCCGATCATAGCTATTTCCTGACGTAGACGGCTCACCACAGCGAGGTATTGAGGGAAGTCAGTCAAGAGGATGCGGATTATGCGCTTCTCACGCAGCTGTTCAGCCGTCTCGAGGGTATCTGTGATATGAAATCGGAAGAGTAGGACACAAAGACGGCAACTGGCAAGCTATGGCAAGGACCAAAGTCCTCACAAGTGCGTCATAAGAGTTAGGGAAACCGGCGGGTGTTCTCATCTTTGTGTCGCCACTGAAGACTTTACAAAATTCATTGAACACTCACGGGACACATTCTTATATTTTCATGTAGCTGAAATTGTCGAGCGGTAGGGATCATACCGGATCAAAAAACAGTCAATTGGCAATAGCAGCGGATATCACCTGGACAAGCATCACCAACGAAACCAAGTTGACTATTTCCGCATTATTTGCAGTTGTTAGTCAGTCGTATCCAAACTCCATGTCAGTGGTGGCTTTAGGTCTGAGATTTTGGTTGTTGAGTTTGGCGGCAAACCAGTCAAGCTACACGCTCACACTATATTGAGTGAGATGACGAAAGCGTGGAGATAACGTTCACTTATGCGGGTTAATTTCAAGACATAGACGGGTGTTCCGTTTGGCTCGGGTCTTTGGCATAGAGCCCTTACAGTCGATGGCATGGCAAAATGTAATCAATGACAGAGTGCCATTACAGACAAAGACATGAGGCGAAGACTGATAATTTCTGGCCAATTTGTCTTCATCACGCCAGATTGGTGAACGCCACCACAATGGGACTTTTCCGTGCATGTTCTTGCTGGCCGAAAGTAGGAAAACACGTGCTCGCAGTCACTATGATTATTTTGAATCAAAAGACAATAGCTATTATAGTCATCATCGGCTCTGGCTATGTGCCCCGTACAAAAGGTGTTGGTGTAGCCTAAATGACTAGATTATGAGTGACTAAGGCATTGCGCCGACACATAGCAATTGGAAAACGATAAAACGGTGGGCGCAAAACCGGAGTCGTAAAGGGATCAGATTGTCACCAATATTACCTCAGGTTCGCGGGCCTTACTTAATAAGGCGACAAAGCGGCTGTCGTCAACTGCAAACGATAGAAAATATCTAAACTGCAGCCACAGATTTCCTGCAGTCTGTCGCTCAAATACTCCCAATTAAATCGGACAATTATGCCCGGCACCAAAGAATACGCATTCAAAAGTTCAGTAAGGGTGGCCCTCATATTGCGTTAGGAAATACAAGGGTTTCGTTTTGTGGAGGTTCGGCCTAGGACCATCAGAGATGGTTACATAACGGTGAGCGACCAACGATGGAATTTGACCTACGGAGGCAAGGATGCCTAGAATGGTCGGTTTTTAAAGATCCGAGGTTAGACTATGGCTGGCTGACGAGGGCTCCGGGCTCCCACTTTCTTATTTCGATGAAATTTCAATACTATTTCGGGCAACGGTATAGAGAAGGACGTCATTTAACTGTCAGTAGACTGTGGGTCGTGTCATATGGGCTTTATCTTGGCATTCATTTGCAGGCTGTTGCAGAAATTACGCTGCCAAAAAGGATTACTTCCCACGACCGCACACACCTTGACTTAAAATCCGTTATTTTGTGAAATTTACTTTTTAGTTATTGTTTAATTACTACTCTCATTTCTGCTGTCGTACAATAGCCCATAAAATTCCCTTTACTATAAATCACGTATAGCACGACCCACAGCCTACTGGCAGTTAGGTGGGGCTCTTCTCTATACCGTTACCCTATTTCGCGCCGAATGCCCACCTATCTTCCCGGAAAGGGTAGGACGCGCAAATAAGTAGCAACCGCACTAAAGATGGTCTGGCGCTAAATTTCAGAGGGAGGGGTTAAGGTTCAAGTTGGGATATGAGAATAGATACCCCTTGGAATTTAACTCAAGGCCACTTGTAATACAGGGGGGGATCGTGCTCCAGGTGTTCCACACTACGGGGTTGGGTACGACTGGCTGACGGCGGCTAATAAGCCAGAAATGGCTATTCCAGTTTCCCTTGTCTTTGTCGGCCATAACATTCTGCCTATTCTCCTTGTGTATTTCTTTAGTCCCGCTGGCTATAACTTTTGCCATTTTGGACTGCGCGCTTCTTCTGTGGTGATTTATTTACTCATTTAAACAAACAGGCTAGTTTGTTCCGGTTTGCTTATTTTTTGCTTTGAGTGTCGACACATTCCGCTGTTTTCTCAATGACCCACCCGAAAAATCCTGTTACCACGGTTCCTATATTATACAGACCTCCGCCTAGGGTTTTCTTGGTGCGGTCGTGTTTACGATCCCTGCCGGTGTCTGATTAACTAGAAAATAAAGCGGCTAGATCGCAGTTGGTAGCCAGGAATGGGCAAGCGGACAGCCAGGTCTCTGTCGTACGGAAACGGTGGGAAAGTGGGTTATATAGGTGGGGTAAGTTAAAGGGCTGGTAGAGGAATACTGGAGATTCTGGATAAAAGTAAAGTTACCAGGGAAAGTGCTGGAAAGTTTTCAGTAGCTGGAATAATGGCAGAAAGTTAAACCCTACGCTTAACCGTAAAATCCAACCCTGACCGCAAACGTAAAGCCTAAACCTAAGCCTCAAAACCGAAACGTAACCAAAATCCTAAAACCCAAAGCTAACCCAGAACCTAGCCATAACCCTAACCCAATCCTAAACCTAGTCCCGACCTTAAGCCTACCCCCAACCCTAACCTTAACCGTAACCCTAACGGGAACCTAAATCCTAACCCTAACACTGGAACCTGACCCTAAAACGCAAACTCTAATCATAAAACGTAACCTACGCCTAATCCAAAACCTCACTAAACCCGACAGCCTGACCGAAACGGGCGAGCTGCCTAACTCAGTAAGAGCACCCTACTGATAACAAGTTCCCTAGACAGGGTAAGCACACCTACTGATAACAAGTACGTACGTCGACAGTATCAGCGTATAATGTCTGGCCACCAACTACGATTTTACCAATAAAGCTATCTTCAACAAATGTAAACCAGAAATGGGTGAAACGTTGATACTTGCATGCAGCGATTCAAGTGATTACCAGATGCCGGTGTCAGACGAACGAAGCGTTTCTAGCATCGACGATAAAACGTGTCTAACAAAGTGCCCAGCAAGAAATAACCATTTTCGGAACATAGGCTTTTTACGGCAGACAACAGGTGGACGTAGGCAAAAATCGCTAGGGACCTGCTGTGGTCTGCGCATCTGCTGTGCGGATCAACTCCAAGGCGTTCCGTGTGTGCTAGGTTGCGAAGGACACCACCTTTCCGGTCCCCCCGAAACGAATAAAGGATTAAATCCTGGACCTGATTCTTGCTTATTTTACATTGGCGACGAGACAAGGGTTTCACTTTCTGTTGAAGCCGGGTTAGTATCACCGGCCAGCCCCGTTCACTTAGCTCGTGCCTGCCACTCTGGGTAAACAAACCTCTGTTAAGGTAAACATTCACCTCTCTGGTGTGCTAACTACTCTATCAGGCGAAGGCCCTGGGTAGTTTGCGATGTTGACTAACTAGTTGGTTGGCAGGTGCACTAATAAAGCGGTAGTCGTTCGGGTTTCCCACTGCACGAGGTTGTTCGTCTACACAGTGTCACTTTCACTTTGCGGTCACCCGTAACATAGCAATGCAGTGGCCTAAACGACGGTCACACAGTGTTGAACAAACCGACTGGTGAGCTAACTCATAAGGGTGGCGGGCGTTTCCCCAACCCAGCTACGTCGGTGCATAGTCTGATTAGCCTGAAGATTTTCGGGTCCAACTTCTTTCCTGAGTACGGAGTAATCACATCTGTCTACTTCTTCAGCTGCCCAACACAAAGTGATGACAACCCCCAGAGGGATTCAGAAAGATGACACCGTAGACTATCTTCGGGTAGGCGGAGTGTGTGATCAAACAGTTTGATAAGCCAATCTTATGATCCATAATCTGCGAAAAGTTTCTCCGATTGACGGCAAATTTTCGGACTCGAAAACTTATCTGTGATCTGAAACCTTGGTAGGCACAGAGGAGAAGATAAAGTTTGCAGTCATTGGGCAGAGTGTCTTTAAAAAAAACATTACAATGACACCCTGAATAACCCTCTCAGGCATTTGCGAATCAACAGGGAGACCTGGGAGGACCTCGCTCAGTACCGGCTGGCCTGGGAAGAGCAGTGAAGACTGGAGCGGCAATCTACGGTGCCCATCGGATGGCCGCTGCGAAAGCAGAAAAGGACAATTCGCAAGTCTGAAGTGCCTCCAATCCACAACAGCAACACCCAACCCCTTCCAACATGTTCACGCTACTAACGAACAATCCGCGCGAGGATCGGCCTCGTCAGACATATCCGGACCCAAAACCCTCCCCCTGCCGCCGCCACAAACAGCCCCTATCGCCATTTCTGCATAAATCCCCACGGCATCTACGACGACAACCCGCACCACCGGTGACCACACTCCTGATGCCCAGCCGCTGTCGATCCTCGCAACCCCCATTATCCCTGGCACAGCCTCCGCGATGACGACGACGACCACTACCTCTCCCACTCCCGCCAGTGATGAGAGCACTCCCGGTGCCCCGTCGATTACTACCCTCAACACCACTGCCCCCATCACTAGCGATGTGAACTCGGTCCCAACATGTCTTCACTGCTTCGGCCTGGTCGGTTACTTGCGAATTCATCGCACGATAGCCAACGAACCAGTGCCAGGAGTCCCGACATACAGTCGCCGCATACGCTTTCACTGTCCGCACTGTCCACGCGCATTCACTCACTGCATGGGCACATTCGGCCATATAAGTATCCACAATGGCGGAATTCACCACAATGTCGACAAACCAAGCACGCCATGCACATCCGACAACTCTTCCATCTCCAGCACTATGAACTCCGCACTAACCAGCGCGACCACCAATGGGAGCATCAGCACCGCAACCGACTCTGCAGCTTCCAAGCCATCCTGCTCCCACTGCCACCGCACATGCATAACACGCATCGGCCTGGTCAGTCACTCGCGAATTCATCATACAGAGACTAACGAACCAGTATATGGAGCACCGGAATACACCTGTCGTCATCGCCTCGACTGTCCACGCTGTCATCACACACTTAGCCATAGCATAGGTGTACTCGATCGCATGAGCCTTTATGAAAACATGCGTTTCCCCATCAACACATGCGCCACGTATGAACGAGTCCGACATCGCATGCCGCAACCGAGAAGGAGCTCATTCAAAAGCCAGCATCCTGACGTGACTGAAGTATATTGGGATCATGCTGCATAATGATGAACGTTACAACCCTATTGAAATAAAATTCCCCTATGCGAAAACCTATTTCAGAATTTCAGGAACTACTTCACGAGATAGCATATTTACTGTAAATTTCAATCTGTGGGGGAGGGGATGGATCTGACAACAAGCCCTGGCGTAGGCTAATCATGAGAGGCGAATAGAACTTACCAAAGGCAGGCCCAAGAGCTTGTCGGACGGCCTGATCCGAAGCCTCCAATGAGTGTTCTTTCCAAGTTTCCGCATCGTCACTGCGAAGGACAACAATCTCGCGTTGCCGCCCACGAAGAGAGGCGAAATGTGGTATCTCCAAAAGCACAGGACTGTTGAAGGTGCAGGGGTGAGGGCCCAATTCGATGATGCTGAAGAGTAATGGAACATGAGGAGGAAATTGTCAATGCTGGAGAGCAAAATAGTTGATCAAACAACATCCAGTCTTTCAGATGACATCAAGGGTTGACTTATGCGAGGAATAATTTGCAACACAAGCTTAAAGCTGTCTTAAAGTCCGCAAGAACTGTAACATTTCTGATATATGGGCTCCTTGGTAATCTACTGAAGGTAGACCTGAGTTACGGCTATGATAGAGCTGGTAAGACAGCGTATGCAAATTGGTCAACTTGACTGAGATTCGGCCGAAAGCGTGCAAGAAGACAACCCAGTAATCGGATCAAGCCGGAGGGCGTCCAAGCAGGAGAGAGATAGTAAGTCATGCAACGTCCTTGACCATACCGGCAGGCTAGACCCTCGCCATCGTTGAGTTGTGGTGGCGAAGCAGTTCGCTCAGGACGCAGCATTCGGCAGGTGACCCGTGTGGGGGCGCTCGCAGCACTGGGAGGCACCAGAATACGGAGGCCCGCGTGTCGGCTGCCGCGCATTGATCCGCCGCGTGCGTCGACGAGGAAAGAGACCAAGAAACTAAAAGACGACCAAGAGAAAAAGCACAAATATTTGCTTCCTTCTCAGTCATTTTCGACCACTGTCGCGCGTCTTGGGCTCAAAGTCATCGATGCTCATAATCTTGGTATAAGTTATGTTTCCTAAGTTCCAAAGTGGACTTTTGCATGGATAACCAGTGTGAAAGGTAGTGGTATCAAAAAAGAACTTATTTAATGGTAGCTCATGAGTGTCATGATGTTGTCATCAGAGAAAAATGCGATCTTATGGGGGAAGTCACCGAGTCAAGTCTCCGCTGTTTACGTCCTGGTAGCACTGCCGCTAATGGTTTTACAGAGGTTTGTCCATATGATCCAAGAGCCCGTTCGTTTTGCTACCGGGCTGCGCTGTAGTCCGTTTTACTACTGCACCTGTAAACACGGTACACAGCTAGGTCAAGATATAAGTCTCACACTCCAGGAGTGTCCGCCCTCCCAGATAACAGAAAGTTCCAGAATCAACTAGGACGATTGGCGAAAGGTGCGCACACGTCCAGTTTGCTTGTCACCGACTATTTACTTCCTGTAGCCTGTAAATTACGTACAAAGCTACAAAGCCTGTACGACAACAGTTCAGACGTCGATTTCGACTTTGCCTACTATAGGCTCCACAGCAGGGTGATAGTAAGGAGGATGATCTGCGTGTGAATTAGTTTATTGTGATAGTGGACTTGCGCTGCATCTGCCGCATTCTTTCCTCCTCTCCCACCTGGGCCCGGTGTCATGACTAAATCAAGTAGACCGGAGGCGGAAGAAGCCGCAGGTGGCTGGCACTGCAAAACCGCACCTAGGCGTACCACAACGCCCCCTGGTCCACAACAAACACTTGACCAGGATTTCATACAACAACAAAAGTAGAGGCGGCAAGGATCCTAGTTGGCGCGGAGTGAGCCTGCAAGTATGCCTGCCACTGCACCCCGAGTATTGGAATTTGTTATGGGTGCGCATTCCTGATAACGCCCACCAGAGTCCGATGTAGCCCCTGTGTTTGTCCAACGCATCTAAGCCTTGGCTGATTTTAGGGAGCAAATAAGCGTATACGAAAGAACAACATACAGTTGCCATGAGAAACCGCTATCCTGGAGGCCATCGGTAAGTTCCCAAGTGAGTTTTATAGCCAGATTCTAGGGCTCACGCGTAGACATAAATTAAAGATACGCGTCGAATGGATTAAAGAGAGGAGAATGAAAGCAAGGGAGAGACCCGAAAATGATGCAAATGGCGCAACAACACGATATTGAGTTAGAAAATGGGAACCATATAAGAGTCAAGGGACGACAGGAATATCAGGAATACGGAGCCCGACAGATAACCTGATTGTAAATTGTTTTCGTGCGTCCAGCGGGTAGAAAGCGGAACGGCCTTCAAGGATGATATGCTGCGAGATAATCAGACTTTCCGGTTTGGCGAATAATGCAGCAGCTGCACGCGGAAAGGTCCCAAGCCACAGCAACATTACGATATGACGAATGTTCCCCTTCGCCCAATGAGGTTTCGGCCGTCGTCTGACATAATCCTGGAGCCTCAAACTGATGTTCTGGGACGGTGGGTGAAGACGCCCATATTTGACATCAGGTGCTACAGAAAATCGTCTCTCTACCAAGCCGCCCCATGGAATATCTGTTCTGTGGGCCGAAACTTTGCCGGGCTTTGGATGATCCGTGAGCTCTGATGAGGTTTGCAGTGGGTCAGTGACGCCAAAAAGAGCAACTTCCTGCCCAACAGAAATCACATGGGAGTAGCATTTACTGATTCAGCCAGATAACAGGGTGATAATGGAAGTTGGAACTTCGAACCCAAAGTACTCACAGGTGGTCGCATAGTGACGGACAGTCAGTGGTCGACAAGTGATACCGCCAAAGACAAGGGAAGATGGAGTTGCTATTTCTGGTTTACCTGCGGTTGTCAGTCGATCATGCCTCAACGCCTTAGATTTGAACCCGAGTAATTTATCATCGCGCATTTCTAAGTTAGAACCCCACTGTGCCAGCCGTGATTGGAAATATTGAGTTACATGGGGTTGTCATTTGTTGATCTATCCTGGTTTTAGGACGGAGAGGGAAGTTTCATTTTGTTTTGGAGTTCTGGGCCTAGAGCACGCGGGTTTAAGTCACAGGTACTCGCGTTACGTTACACTATGGACAACTGATGGCGATAAAGAAGCCAGTAACCGTATTCTGGTCTCATGTCGGCATCAGTAATACTCCTACATCGAGGAAAATGGGCTTTAGACAGACAGTTAAATTGCTGGCAGAATATTATTGTCCGGTAGGTACTAAAAGAAAAACAAGATCAGTTGTGAAACGGTTCATTAGACTTCAATACTCTTGCTCGATCAGGACTACTGTTCAATGCATACATAACCAAGCGGTGTCATGTCGCCACTGTGACCAGAAACACTAAGCCAGTGAGGGCTAGAGAAGTAAATAAGTGATGGCTCGGCTACGCTTCTAGGTCGGTGGGGAAAAAATGCAAAGGGGAAGGAGGGACGGCGAGAGAGTGATGCTACGGCGTTCATGTGGAGCGATGCGTCCGAACTCCATTTCTCTCCCGCTCTATCTATCATCAAATTTTGGGGCGTGTTAGATTATTTATGGCGAGAAAATTAGGCGTTGAAGTGGAGCTGGGCAGAGTTCCCTACGGATGGACGTTAATATAAACCCCATGCTATCACGCGCTCCGCCCCCGCGAAACCGAATTCCCAGCCGAGAGTGCACACAGTCACGTCGCCGTGAGACGGCGTGGACTCAACCTTATCGTGAACACCATGCCCTGAACGCCTATCCCCTCTTCATCGTTTGGCTGCAAAAACCGCGTTCTCACAGTCCGACGATGACCTCCTGTACGAGACCGAAAGCTCAGACTAATACGCGTAATGTCCCAGAGATCGCGTGTTCATCTTTTTTACAGAGTTCACTAGCTCCAGATGAAGCCCACTGTAGAAGGCATTAGGCGCAGTGGCTGATGTGACGCAAAGTCTACATCTAATGTGTGGCAGACACACCTTGGAATGTGGGTTTACTCCTTGGCCTGGTTGTTGCCTACCCGACGTGGACACGAGTGGCAGATAGTTGAAGGGCTTTCTGCGTGGGTAAGCTGCGAAATGGACAGGCTCCCGGCTCTGACGAAAATGCTGACGTGGACCGACAGCGAGTGTTCCTCGAGTGGGAAGTGCTGCGGTCTGGCGAGCCGACCGCCTCATAAGATATCTACAAGCCCGAAGACGGCAGGATGACATGGCAACCGTCAGAACAGGATCTGGGTCGATGAGGGCAATTTTGGAAGCGTAAACAACCGGTCAGCGGTACAAGGCACAGACGTAATCCGCCGTCCAAGGAAAAGGGCGGGACTAGAAAGTGAAGACAGCTAGGATGGGAGGGCTAAATGGCAGACTGAGCGCTGAAGATCAGGGCGAACTCTAACAAAGGGAAGCGGATGCACACAACTGGTCAGCCAAGACAAAATACTACGCCTCAGGTGCTTCGAGTAATACCACATTACCATAAGCTCAAACTACTAGGAGAGAAACCTACCAGCATAAAAGTGAGCTCTAGTTGACAATGTGGAGGCAAAGCGGCGGCCGAGAAGGGGACGTTCAAACAAATAAATTGTGACGACTCGACTAGACAAGGTCATTTTACGTCGTTTACAAATCCAGCAAACCAACTTTGGTCGAACAAAGGCAGGATGGAAGTCATGGGATGGGTAAACTTTTAGGTAAATGACGTACGACGGTCTTCATCAGAGCCCATAAACTGAGGCATTTTAGGCGGATCATATTCAGTTTCAAAAATTCAAATAGAACGAAAGAGCGAGAGCTCGACCTGCTTTTTAATCAGCAAAATGTGGAATTGAGCCGAAATTTCCATATTTTCACTAACCAAACTCTATGTCTCGACTCCATCTAGTCTTCGATCCAGCATAAGCAAAATTCAAAGTTCAGAATAACAAAGACAAAAACATAAATAAGTTTTGTACCAGGTACAGTCTGTGCGACCGAGCTTTGGAAGTATGATAGGGCGCAGCAAATTGCAAGAACCAACCAAAAAATAGGATTCGATGAAGCATTGGACACATCAAATGTTTTCGGTGGCAAGAATTAATCACAGCACCCCTCAAAACGCTCTTGTGCGAAACGGAAAAATTGGGCCAGGCAACCATGAGAACAGAAGCTACACGGCAGCAGGGGATTTGGAATAACAAGCAGGGATAGGAGCAAAATCAAGGTCATGCTCAGGAACTATGTGCTAACTATGAGACTTCCTCCATGCAAGACCAGGGCTGATTCAGAAAGCGAAAAACGGTAAATACTTCCTCTGAGAGGCAGAATCATCGGGACAAAAGGGTCGCTTCAGTTTACTTACCAGTCGTGTTCCATACGTGTGGCAGCTGGCGCGTCCTTATCAAACGGTAAGACGACTACATCGTCAGTGGATTCTGATGGAGTTTCAATACCCATTTATTCGCGAGAACTTCGTTCCCCTACCTCGCTTTCTGTCAAAGGAACGGGCGACACGACCACGGAAAGAACCCCAGGTAAAGGCGCTGAACTAGTGCGAACGCTCTCGACGCGGACATTAACGCCATGACAAGGTCGACAGGCCAACCAATCGGTGCGCGAAGTTAAACTTACTTTGTCGTTCATTGGCCTGGCCTCCAGAAGGTCTGCTCTCAGCGTTAATTTGTCACAACGCCCAATGCGTACGTGCGTCGTTTCTAATCCAACAGTTTCGGCCTGTGAGACGCTCACGGGCTAACGGGTGCTTGCCTTGGCAGCCGCTGAAACAGGCAACATTATACGCACGCCGTAACATTCCTGCACCCAATTGGCTGGCGACTCCTGCGACTGTATCCGGAGCAGCAGGCTATTGTAGCCGGGAGATACTTGCGGCCATCCCTTACAACAAAGATAATACCTTGTAGCTAGGAGCAAAGAATTCAATGCAAACTCTACTACTGCCGAATGTCACATCAAAATTCCCTGCGGGTTACCAAGGCAACAGCACAGACCACCCAGTTCACATGCTTCAGGGAGGAGTATTTCCCGAAACGGTTTGGAACTGAGCTCCATAAACACCAATGAATTCTTCTATTAAACACGGAGTTTGCCTACTCTCCGTCCTTAATGTCGACAACGTACAGGCCTGATGAGAATTTACCGAAAACATACGTTAGCCAACTGATTTTTCAAAGCGGGTTGAGTTGGTTTTTCAAACCTCGTGAACAGAATTCGGTGGGAGCCTGTGGCATTGGTCCTAACAACTCATGAAATCCAATCCTTTGACCTCTTTTTACGCGTGATTGACTGCATATCTTTGTTTGGCAAGAACAACATATGACGGAACAAAATTCCGTAAAAAAAGACCAGCTTCATGCTAATTAGCAGTTTGTTGTGTTCATAGCGAGAAATGTAGCCTTTCATTGTCACTAAGAGACTATGATCTTTTTGTCAACCTCATCTTCTTCCCAAAATGCACCCATAATCTTCAAGTCACCTCTGAAATTTCGTTGAAAGCTTCTTCAGAAATACTTCTATACGTGCTATTTCTTAAGCTTTCGCAGGACCTGAATAAAGGAATTTCACTTCATGCTGGAAAACTTAGGCCATTACGATCGGTCTCCCGAAATATGAAATGAAATAAGCGGCTAGGTAATGGTGTATAACCTCCCGGAGAAAACTGTAGTTAGCTAAAACCCTAACGCCAGCGGTGGCCATGCCTGTAATGAGTAACCTTAGCCCTTGAGCCTTTAAAAAAACTCGTAAGTCACCTTACCTCAAGCCCTAAAACCCTAACCCTGACGCCGAAACCCTAATCCTGAACCAAATCCAGACCACAACCAACGGCTTGCAACCCTGGCCCTAAGAATAACTCAGCCCCTAACGCTACACCTTACGGTAGCCCTAGTCCCCACTTTCAGCCCGGTATGGGCAACTTTAACATCAATGAAGCTACTGAAGGTCAAAATCCGCGTGTCATATAATCCTTCCTGCGGCCTACTATCAGACAAACCACTATGGATCACACCTGCCTAAATAAGATGAGGATACATGTTTTTGGACAACCACCCCGGAGGTTACACACCCTACCCTCACCGAAAAAGCGTTTTCTTTGAGGGTTGAGCTCCTGCCCTCTAAGAGTAGCATTGCTGCCGTGGAGAACAACTTCACTACTCTTAGCAGGTTTCATAGCTGCAAGCCGAGACATTAGACTGAAAAATAATGGTTCGCAAACTAGGTGAAAAAACATAGGCACTTACAATGAAAATGAGGTCCATGAAATAACAAAAGCCAGAGAGGGGAGATTGCTAGAGAACGTGTCATACGTGGCAAGTTGTGGTGGGTATGAAAATTACTAGTAGAGCGGCACAATGGGCGTAGGACTGACGAGGAGCTTAAACCCATTATGTCTGTAAAAACTCAACCGCAGGATGACTCGCCGGACAGTATCATATGTCAGCATAATGTGAATGGGATCGAAGCAGTTTTAACTGGCCTGATAACTGCGGAGTGACCGGTATATGTGTGCGTTTTCGAGCGCGCGAATAAACATAGTGAGATTGAAAGGCTGTTTGGAGCAGCTTCAACGACACTGCAACTTTATCTTAGAAAAGTCTCGCTGACGGGGTAAAACAGAATAGCGACAACTGTGGTCGACCTTTGGTTGAGAAGCAGTCGCAATATTACGTGAACAAAAGGTCCCGGCCGTAACTTTCTATTTTTAAACATGTGCTAGGACAGACTGTAAGGGGGCAAGAAAAGTTCAGTTTCATAACACCCTCGTTGTCATGTGGGCTCGAACCGTTGGTCACCAAAACTGGAGTCAGGCATGGAACACAGACAAATTTACTCCAACAGACTATGCGGAATAGACAAAATACGCAGTCAGGAGTGTTCGTTGTTAGAAGGCCAATACGCAGCGACAGGTTATTTTTGAACGTTCCCTAGATCGGAGCACATTTACGTGCCGTCAGTTATCGCAAGTGGCGCATCAGTAGAGAAAAGAAGACTAGGTGCATGAGTGCCCTTAACCATAATCTGTCCGAATACGTGAACCAGTTAGTCAGATAATGCCCATGTCCTGTTTAATAGTTTATTTAATAAAGGTCATGGAATGAACGAAAAATGTCAATTAATTTCATATGTCTCCGTAGAATATTCCAACTGCAGTGACGCATTTGTCTTTTTCTCATGTCCAACTCTCCAGACATTGAACGGACGGAATAGAAGCATGTCAGAAGCCTCATTAACCCTTCTGGCCGGATTGCTTCAGGATCTACAAGCTATCTGATTCTTGCATTCCATGTATTCACAATTTCGAGGATGATTTCATAGCCAGTCGTCCGAAGGGTCTCTGCTACCCGTCGACTCGTACGGTAGACAAGATGAGGCCTTATATTTTAGCTTTGGGAATAGAAATAATAGAATGGTATACACCATGCTCGCCTGCAAAGCTATTTTGATGGAATATACTCCTTCCGATCGTTGGAGACTTCCACCAGTGGTGACGTTTGTGAAACTCTAGGTCTGCCTTCCGGAAAGAGCCGAAAAATCTCTTCCATGTATACCCGCTTCGTCACATGGGAAAATTTCCGTTGATTTAAAAACTTATACGGTCAAAAGAATGCATGTAAAATCTGGTATACAAAGAGAAACAGTTTGCAATACAGAAGAACACAAAGTTAGGTATGCTTGTTGATTTCAAGGAGGGAGACGAGTTCGCGCAAAACTTAAACTCTTGCCCGAATACCGGGCGAAAGTGAAAGAAAAAAACGGCTGGAATTATCTGTCCGAACTTTTTGCCTTAAAAACTTGAAGGAGTCTTCTTATCCCTTTCGATAGTCAAATGTCCTGATCAGCAACCCTTTTTGCCGGCCTGTTACTCAGCCAAGCTCCACCGGCTTTCCGGAGTGGCCCCTTAACTGTGTAAGCGGTTTTAATTCATAACAAGTCCAGAATAATTTAGTGGTTGCTTTAGTGACTCTGTCCAGGCATATTCCTACCTATCTTCGGGAGGGAAAGCCCGGTCAGATGAGACTGTTAAATAACTAAGCAGAAATACCATTTTACGGTCGTTAGCCTGGTTATAAAATGAAACAAAATAATCGATAAGGGTCCCGGGCACTTGTAACTACAAATGTATCCATATTTCATAGAACTTACTCTGCACAATCTCCGTGAGATAGCGTGACACTCCGTTTCCATCCCTTCTGTTTGTCAGTGAGTGATATAAGGGTAGCGAAATGACTCATACCTACACTCTTGTTGTTTCTGTAATCAATACGAAATTGAAGACTTAAGGAGGTAAACGCCTGTTAAGCTAGTATAATTAATCCTTTACAGGTCTCACTGCATCCGCTTTTATTGTAACGAATTCCGTGGTTATCAATAACGAAACTTCAGGCACAGACGAAGCCACCTCTCATCTCACAACATACCACCGCTATCGACATTAGCAACATGCATATGGACACTCCTACAGACTTACGAAACAGCACCGCCATTCCCGGTGGGCTCAGTCTCAACCTGTTACCAGTGCAACCACACTTTCTCGTCACGCACACGCATGACCGGCCACTTGCGGTTCCACTGCACGAAGACCGGTGAACCAGTACCTGTATTCCTGACACGTTCTACGAACGCCTCATCCGCATACAATGCACCAGGACATTTAGACCCTGCATGATTCTAACTAGTCATGCGCGTATCCATAACAGCGAAATCCACCGCAATAACATGACGACAAACCAACCACCAAGACCTGAAAACCTCATCACAACCAGCCCTACCAACTCCATACTGGCTTACTAGTGCCAGGAGCCTCAGTATGCACCCGTCACACACACTTCATCTGCCCACATTGTCTAATGAGATTCGGTCATCTCGACCATATGTGCCTTCATGCAAATTTTTCATAAAACTGTTCTTTAGACTCCATCAGCACACCCGGCCGTACCTTCCCACAAACATCCTTAGGCCACATATGCCCTCCACCCCACACCACTCGCCACACTCCGCAATAATCATACACATTTTCGGCTGCAAGCAAGTAGTCCGCTTTGCCGTCATCGGTATGACCGCCCAAATGTTTCATGTCACAACATGCAACCCCCGCGTAAGTTGAAGGCATGTTTTGAATGCATCATAGTACATGGTGCGGTGATCAGGTCGTGTATGGAACACGTAGATGGGCTGTCTAGCTCTGTTAGACACTGCACTCAATTTAATCGCAAACAGGCTGACAAATGCGGACAGTCGGCTGGTTCATCGAATAGGGAAGAGAATGAGGCTGACACTGGGGAATCTATCTTCACGCATGCCAAAACACGCCTTACAAAAAAGTACGGGCTGCTCGAAATGATCAAAACGCACTTAAAGAGCCGGGGATTGGAAGGTTGTCAGCTAACGGAGTAAATCGGTCTGCGTGGTGAGTACTGTGCAAGTGTGTTCGCGAAAGTCAT